GCCCCTGTGGGTTAGTGATACTGGTACAAAAGGCTCAGTTGGCGACTTCAAACTTAAACCACCCGTGGCACCACCGCGATACCCGATTGTCTATTATGGGTCGATTGTACTGTGCTGCAGTCCTCTCTCTTCTACTGTATGGCTGCGAAACATTGCCATTAAAGGTAGAAGATATGCGAAGGCTTCAAGTTTTTGACCACCGTTGCTCCGTAGCATAACCCGTGTTTTCTGGTGTAACCCAGAAGTCAGACATAAACTTTTAGGCAGGAGAAATAAGAGAGTTGATGCTATTGTGAACCTTCATCGACTGAGATGGCTGGTACATGTGTTACGCTTATCTAACAACCGTCTGCCTCGTCGCACAATGTTGGCCAACATAGGTTCAGACTGGAAAATGGCTCGCAATGACCAGAACAGAACATGCTATCAATGTATGATATCTTTAACTGTTCTCTTGAGCCATGTAGGGCGGTGCAGACTAGCCGGTTGTGGTCATGGGACAAGAGAAACCAGTGGTTGGAGGCTTTGTGTGATTTAGTTCAGAACCGATGTCAGTGGTGCAAATGCATGCACATATTATCCGCACAATAACCGCTATACTTAATCTCATTATCTTCTCATTTACCGCTTTTTACTTCTACTTCCTTTGACCAATTTTTCTTTCTTTCTCCATCTTCGTATTATTCCCTTGTTACTTGGGGTGCTGATATCAGGTGTGGCAACTTGGACCGTTAAGCAGTAATTCCTGGTCCTATGTTGATCTCGATGATAATTTATTCAACTTCAGAAAGAGTTTAAGGCCTTAAATCAGCATCTCATTTTGATTATGATTGTAGTAGGCAAATGAATATGACTTGGTTTCCACTTTTGTAGCTTTTTAAATGTGATTTTCTCATGATTCTGAGTACCATTGATTCGTGTGGATTGTTAACCTATCTCTATGCTATCCTTTTTTCTACCGTCAGCTATTTCGCCCCAGTATGCTCAGTGAATCTAAACACCTGTCTGCAACCTTTTTTCACCTCTGTCTTAAATTGTTCAGCTCCCAATTCTTATTAATGCTTACGATCGTTACATAGCCTACGTCTAAGCTGCTTTTGTACCTCGTTGTACTGGTCATCTATGAAAATATGAGTCTTTTACTCATCAGTTGGAAAAGGAGCTGTCAAGGTTTACCTGAAGTTGCTTAATATTTCGAGGTTCAGTAACAACTTTTGCCCTTGTTTTCACATTAATGTGGAAATTATGTGGAACTTCCTTAAGAAGACCAAAGTAATCATTTTCCACTGTTTCTTCAGCTGGTTTCTCCTTAAATGTAAATTCAGTAAGCTTGTTAGGATCTCCTGATCATAAGTTTTCTGAATACGTTCATGTAAAGACTTAAGAGTGTTCCTGCTGACATGTAGTCAATGTTCAAACAAATGATCCAGGAGCGACATCTATCCATTGACAACCCACAGTTAAATGACTTACTTGTATCCACCTTTGGTCTAAGTAGTTTTTGAAACATTCATATAAGAAGGGATTACTGTTTGCTGTTTAGTGAGTTCGTAGAAGGTTGGTACAACTCATCTCTTTTACTTTATCCGAACTACAATTAGTAAGTGAGTGTGAATAGACCAAAAAGACACCATAGTGTTTTACTACTCCACGTGATCTTCCTTTCAATATCTAATCTGATAAATCACAGGCAACTGTCAACTACGGTTCAAATGAAAAGAAGATTCAGCGTAATATATCAGTGAAATAGACAAAAAGGGGCATGTGAGGAGAGGGAGTAAATAAAGCAGCTTAATAAAAAGTTCAAAACTTTGAAGACTACATATATTTGTGCTACTTTAGTTAAGATTTTAGTCATATTACCGAAAGTCTCCGACGACTGACTGATTAACACTTTGAGAATCACAGCCAAGATGCCTACACAAACAGTCATAGACATTATTATCTGGTTCCATATCTTGATATGATCAGTTTTAGCTCTTTGCTAACTTATCCCTATTCCCACAGCATCGTTATTTGAAATAGTTGTTAGCTGGTCATACTCAACATGTGTTCAACCACGTCATTCGTGGGGGATTCACAATTTCTCAGTTCACTACATTTCCTAAAACTTGGAGTCGGCACAGATCAAATCTTAACTATCATGTTAAATTTGACGGGTGTGAAATGCATACCAGGCATCCTCAGCTTTCTGCTCAAAGCGTTCGAACAACTCAATATTTTGTCAGCATCTTTCCTTACCATTACCATATCGTTTGCATACTCTGAGTCAATCACGTGTCCTCCAGGGACTAAGTGAATCCCTGAAAATTTGAAGGTATCCAGGATCGTATCTATCGGAATATCTATGACAAAGTTAAACAAGAATGGTGAGTGTACATCTGTGGTGGACAGCACCAGTTATAATTGCTTCAGGTGACAACTCTCTGCAAGCCCTTACATGGTTGCATGATTTCTAGCACAGAACTTTATTTAAAATAAAACACTGATTTAATACTTCTTTCACAATGAAACATTGTCATAAAATCTCCTTATCGATGTAGTCAAGTACTGCTTTCAGGTCACGTCTACTAAAATTTTAGTGTTCAGATAGTATACCTATGTTCTAAAACTTCTTGAAAATCAAGAATGCTTACTCATTGAGATCTGAGACATCTCTTATTTTCCAGAGTTTACTTTCTTCAAAATCTGTTTAGGTGAGGAATAATTACAGATTTTGTAATCTTTAAAACAATGTTAGTCAGACTGATCCTTTTTTTCTGTCACAAGGAGTTTAGTCTTCCGAATACATGTAGTAGAAACGATTCTGCACCTGTTCCAGATGTATGGAAAATTCTACTTTCACAAAGAAGAAGAGCAGATCAGAACCACATTAATTGTCTCAAAGTTGTGGAGTTGCCTGATATGAATACAGACAATAAACTATGTCTGAGACTTTACCCAGTGAATAATACTGTTTCACTCTGTGACATCTGTAATAAAACTGCAAAAATGGAACTACAATCTACGACATTGCTTGAGTTTAACTCTTTTATTAATGAGATCAGACTCCTTTCTTATAAGCTAGAAAGACCGACTACATGCACCACTGCAATGAAAGTACCTTTCGTAGTCGTTTGCTTACTTGTACCACATTTTCTCTAGTCCCGGAATTTCAACCACTATCTTGGATTTGCTTTGAAGAAAAACCCTTAGTTCCTAATGCTTTGTGTCGTTTCAACCATGTCTAACTCAATCAGATTTGAAGGACGGATATCTGCATTATTTTCAGATGGGAGCTAAACTTTAGACAGATGAATCGTGGATATAGACAAGCTGAACTGTTCATTAACATTTTCCGCCAAATGTTCCAACCGATTGTCTTGAACAGATATTAAAGACTTCATCCTTCCCGATCGTAGTTTTCTTAATCATTATCTTTTCCAGGCCAGTCTCAATGATAAGCTTAGATAACTGCCAAACATTTTATAGTAGAAGCTTTTTACTTCCTATAAAGTCTTTCCAGTATGGAAGTTTTCTTATGACTATCTGCTTACATCCACCTGAAATATCACTTTAAACCAATATTCATTGAGGTTTCATGCTGATATCGGAACCAAGCCTTGGAAATTTTGAAGGCGCTCAGATTCTATTCTCAGAAAGCTTCTTATTAACCACTTGTAGAGAAGTTTCATTGTAAAAACATTTTTGATTTAGTATTAAAAAATAATACAGGATTTTTCCAAAAATTTAGCTGTATAAGTTACATCTTATACAGCAGAATTACTGGATCGTCTGATTTTTTCCCAGAAAATTCGTAATAAGTGTGATCACGTTATTTTTAATTTCAGAGGTTAGTTCCAAAGGAATATCTTTATCACATAATACTGTTGCAATTCTATTTCCCATTGAATTTGTGGGGAATAATGGTGCCTCCCAACTTCATTACTGTGTACTACATAAAAATCCTGCATTTTCTCCGGGTCATAAAAGACAGTTCATTAGTTAGAATATTTTTCATGAATCATTTTTAAAGCTTGAATAGTTACCATAAGTAATGAATGCCATTATCAAGTGGTAGAATGAAGGGGATGGTAAAAACTAATAAAATTGATAAGGAAAAAAAAATGAATTTTACGATGCTGGAGATTTCTTTTAGTTCCAAAACTTGAAAAATATCAAGAGACTGTGAACTATAAAGTTCAAATTTTCATACATGTACAAAAAGGGAATCGAAAGAAAGCTGTATTCAAATCGATAATAATTATGATAATAAAGACATAGTAATATGGAAAACACTGTAACTATTGCCAAACTAGCAACTGAATAAGCCGACTGACTTCATCTTGAATTGTTGAATTATGAACATGTCTATTATACATAGTAAATGTGTTCACACTCTTCGAAAGCCGATTATGTAGATTTCCAAGGAAGATTAGTGTGATTTGGATCTGTTCAACTTCCTATGTTCACTAGATAGCCCAGAAAAAATAATGTTCATAGATATGATGATCAATATGCTTGGTTAAGTATGATCAAGTTAGTTGATAGATGGATAAAGATATAACTTAAAGAAGTAACTTGTTCCTCGCGTACCATGAAATCTGTCACCGATTAGGAAGTATTTCTGAGTTATTTAGATAGTGGGTTTCCTGAATACTTCTACGGCAGTATTCACCTTGAATTTAAAAAGAATGATTTTGAGGCGTTTTAACGTTGTATGGGCCTCAGTTTCTTTTCAGTCAACCTTGAAATGATATACACGTATGTCGCATTTAAGATGTTGAAAATAAATCAACATTCAGCCGAAACACTTTACATTTAAACTGCAGTTCACCACAGTGGGTTACCGAAGGTACTTTTTATAGTTGTTGAATAAGTATTGTTGCATATCCCAATACGTAAATGTGTATGTGTTTGGTAATTTGTACTTACTTATGCAAGCTTGAATAATTCATATTTTTATACTAAGACACCATTATTTGCCTTATCTAACCAACAGTTTATTCTTATTTAAACAGTCAATACATCAAGTCCAAATATGTATGGTTCAGATGGTTCAAGTAAAGTTTCTACTCCAGAAGTAGCTTACCGGTTGGTATGTAGTCCTGCTCTACTAACAGATGAACTTACGGAACCAACTTCAGCATCTATCCCTGAGATTTCACCCAAGAGTGTTTCAAATCTTGATAAAAAGCCGCCCGTTATACCAAGGCGGCGTCAACGTATTCACAATAAATTGAAAAACTCATCCCACTCCGTTCCTGACAGTTCTGATTCATTATCATCGGATTCTGAGCTACAATCTCCAGTACCTAACAGCAGACAAATACCTCCAACTGTTGCCAAACGAATTCATCCTTCTTATCAACAAAGTACAAATCTTAGGAGTAACAACGAATCTGTTGACTATTTGTCTGCAAGTGGTGATATAACTCCGATTGGATTCAGTTCTGTTGGAACAAGATTGTTTCCTAGCGATTCACCAAATCAAATATTGAAGAGTCGACTCAGTGAGCATCCTCTTTTACCATTTGCACGCCAAAATTTTTTAAATAAGTAAGCAAAAGTGTAGTTAACTTCTTTTGACCTTTCACTAAAACAAATCTGAATAAAACAGTTGTGCGCTTTATTGCGTCTAACTTTCAAATGTATCAATGGAAGCATTTAAATTAATTGTTACCCTATATAATCACAGTGACTCCATGAATCTCCATCATTTCTTCAACTCCAGATCATGCATAAACTCGAATTTCGGGGGAGATTATTATGAACCATATATACGGGCTGAGGAATAGTAGCAAACAGCACAGCCACTCCACGGAGATGAGTTTTTATCACCTCATTTGTTAGCTTACCTTCTATCTTCAGAACTTTATGTCTGATGTTACTGAATGACTCCACACTACGCAATTTCTGTTTCAGGGGCACTGACGACTGAATATCTAGTGTTTTTATTCATGTATCTTTGTTGAACATATCTGACAAGCGTGTAATATCACAGGACACAAATCCATCCAGTAGACTTTTTCCCTTGGTAGTTTCATGGATATTTTCCTGCTTTACAAACAAAATAGTTTCCGAAAGCTTGAACAAGATTTGCCTACTGGTCCCAACATTTTATTCATCCCCAGCGTATTAGAATAAGGAAATTGGTTACTTCTAAACGATCTTACTTAGCACTGTTAAATAATTTTTATATCAACTGATCAACAGCTGACAGATTAATGATTATAGATAAGAGTTAGCCATCTAGCCAACAATTATAATATGTTAAAACTATGTCTCATTATCTAATACATGGATTTTAGTACTGTTTTTTTGTAAATAACCAATTATTTCTTCTTTTATGAAGAAATGAAAAAGATTTGAAAGCACCTGAAAAAACTCAAAGCACATTTGTGTGAAATGATGGACAGCACAAATCCCAATGTGTTGCGACTCGTTAGTGGTGGCCAGCAGTGTTTCGTCCTACTTGGGACTGGTTAGCTTGATGTACCTGTACATCAATGAGGGATGGTGTTCCCACTGAGACTTAAACTTCGTATCCATTGCTTTAAATACGACAAACTGTAACATGATGAATCTTTTGGTCTTATAGAGGCGTCCTCATAAACGTCCACATGCCGACAGAGGTCGATGAGTTCGACCTAGTATATTAACCTTAAAACACAGGTTCCAATAAAATTAGATCCCATATTCTTTCTGAGACTACTATCAAATCTGGACAATTATTTAACTTTTAAATTATCGTTCAAATGTACGGAACATGTTGGCTTTTTTAACATTAAAATCCACAATGACAGTAAAACTGATCATTTTGAAAGTTACGTTTTACTCCATCAAGAACTGATTGATATCGACGTTGTCAGCTGATTACTTATAATCTTCCTGTAGTCACTATGGAATCGGAAAGATATCTAATCCATGCTTCTACATTTCTGCAGTATAGTATGAAGAAAACCTGAACCAGCACCTTCTGATTTTTAAAGGCTTAGAGAATAAAGTCTACTTGTGATTAGAACTGCGCTGAAATCTCCCATTACCTAATTATCCTTCTACTGTACAAATGAATAAGGTTTTTCCAGGATTTCTGTAGCCTACAATTTTATATATATTTACTTCTATCAGAATTTTCCTTGTACATTCTTTCCTGGTTAGAATGATAGTTAACTTTCTAAAAACTTCAGAAATTCGTTGTTAGCTTGTTCTAAATTGTTGTTTGTGTCCACTAGTAACGTCTAGTTTATAAGTCTAGGATGTTTCATGAAATATTGTAAGACAGAATAATCCCACATTATGTTTTTTGTATTTTCTAGCTGTCCACAGAACTATATGCATGATGTTCTTGGAATATTGTTGATTAAAGAAATTTATTTTAAAAATTATTTCTGGATCTAATCAACCATCCAACATTATCAATCGACCAACCTATGATGAACTTTAAGCTTTATAGGCTAGAACTGACTATCTTTTATACGTCTGAATCTTTAAATATTAATGTGAAAGTTGACAAGTAATAACCCTGACAGTGACACTAGTTTAAAATATAAGTTGAATCTTAACAGAAAAGACATAGAATGGGAGATGTTCAAAGCCTAGGATAAAAATGTGAAGTGATACAATACTGTTTGAAGGTGGAAACAATGGAATACCACACAGTTTCAAGGACTTCAGACACAGAAATTCTATTTGTGAGTGTGACATATGGCTTAATCTTAGTGTGACTATAGCACAAGTCGATGGTAGTTAGTAACGCATAATGCGAGGATATGGTAAATTCTGAAAACCGAAACTAAAAATAGAGCGGGTAAGTTTTCAAAATGAGATACAAAAGTAGTCAGTAAAATGTATACACTCCATTACTGTTATTTCAAAAATAAATTCCACAAAATTAGTAAATACAATTTGTATAGCAATGGAATTCTGAAGTAGACATTGTATACTGAGTGGAGTTACACTAAAAAAAAATACCGCCTATAAGTGCACATCATTGGAAGTATAATATCAAGTTCTTGGTAGTTAAGATCATGATTTGTGAAGTTGTGGCTCATCGACTTAAAAAGATGACTTTCAACCAGTAGATCATGGGTTCGAACATTTCTGGTCAATTATCCAACCAAATTTTTCTGCTTTTCCTTTCTGATTTTCTTCAGCTGTTCTATAACAGTCAGTTAGACAGCTAACTGTTCATGTTGGTGATAGTTAGTTATTTTTCAGTTTTCAATGACTGCATAATTCACTCTTTTATCCCTCAATTGATTTGATTCTTGAACTAATATCCTATTACGACGTTCAATGCCAACTCTATTTTTTATCTTCTCTTATAGTTATTCTTAACGCTTTCCATTTATCGATATTACAGTGTTAGACAATGCAGGTTATTTTTTTTCTTTTAAATAATACAAGAACAAAGACATTTGCAGAATAAAATAAGCTCATTTTATTTCATGACCTTTCATCGGCTGCAAACAGTTCAAATGACATATTAGTCCTAATAACGACATAACATACTTTAAATACATAGAAATAAATGAAAAATTGAAATCCAGGATTAGCAATAAGGTAGTGAGTTGAGGAAACATATGATTAATAATCACAAATCCTAGTCAAAATCAATGGCAATTTCTATCTCATGAGACAGAAAATTCTGGAGCTGTGAGTAAATGGAGGACAACAAACAAACAGGAGTACAAAAGATGGGGTTGTTGGAGAGCAAGTAGGCTACGCACCTTTATGAGGAAAAACACTGGAAAACCGTTAAGCTGAGTGATTAACAGTCGCTAAGTAATTAATGAAGACGGGAGGCAGTCATAAAACAAGGGAAATTATATATAGTTACCAGGGGAAAACAAGTTTAATTACAGTCTCTTTCTGAGTACACAGTTCAGGTTGAAAATGTTTGATGGGGAGAACTTCCACAAACCGTGATAAACATGACTTTCTCTGTTTGCTGATAATCCTGGAGAAGTGAGAAACACCAATTTGATGTCTTATTTCCATCAGGTGCCTAATGATTGTGCTGGCAAAGACCTTGTTAATCTTCAAACAGATTTCTCGGACTGTGCTCATAAAATCCAGTAGACACCTTTCTTTCGGTTCTTCCTATTTAAATTGCTTCCACAAGCACAGATGAATTGATATATACAGTTGGAGGTGACCTAAACTGCCAACTTGTCTACTTTCGACTGCGTTATTGATCATACTGTATTGTAAGCTGAGATCAGTCTGACAACAGGGAAGCTCCTTCTTAGTGCAACTTTTATTCCTCTGTCTATTCTTTCAGATGTCTTATCACCCATGAATACTTCATGAGATAAAACAGATTTTGTCTCAACAGTTGGGTGTTTGAGTCCCTCAATAAATTCTTTTCCATGCCTCATAAGGAATTTCTTCGGATATCCATTCTCGATAGGAGCTTCGCCAATGATATCGGATTTTTATTCCTGTTTGGCTTTTGAGCATAGATTTCTTATTCTAATGAACAGCATCCTGACTAAACCACACTTATAGCTGACAGGATAGAAACCATTGTGGTGAGGGTATTGATAACTCCAGGTATCTTTCGTGTGGATAGTTTTTCTAATTGTACCATCACATCACTGTTTTATACTCAGATCCAAAATATTAAATCTGTCTTCACTTTCGTGTTCCATTGTAAAATTCATATTTGGATGAGCTTGGTTGAAGGTATCGAACAACTTTGTCTCATTTTTCACTCATGGGTGTATATGACGTGGAAATATGTTTTTATTCTTTTTTCGATACTGTGTCTAACACTCATAACATGTAGTTTTTCAGTCTAATATCAGAATACTACATTTCTATCATTCAAAACACGACTTTCCATTCTGTAATCACAGAATTGTTTAGTTTACTTTTCCGACCGAATCAGGCGAGTAATCCACCAAAGATTGTTCACTTAGAATAGTAGTCGTAAAATGGCACATGGAATGAAGTGGAAGGATTTCTTATGAATTGTCTGTTACTACTTTCACCTATCCCCTATCTTCGCAGGGATATTTAAGGATAGTCATAACCCCTCAGACATTTAGTCCTACTCCAAAGATATGATTCCAATACTTAGATAACATACTTACAGTACTGAAAATCGGAACACGTCACATATAAATTCAGTAATGAACACAGTTCAGTTTACCGTTGACTCAGAAAATAATGATGATCGATTGCAAGATTAAACGAAAGCAGAGTGGAAATTTAGAGACTGGTGTCTTTAAGAAACCTTCACATTCTAATCACTACTGAAGTTTTAAATCATGTCGCCACATCTCAGTTTAGTTAGTTAGTTAAACGCTTTAGTTATAGGGTAAAAAAGCCTACTAGTAAGACAGTAAATCTGCGAAAAGAAATTAGGCATATCAAGAATCCTTTAAGTTCTAATAATTGCCCACCTAAATTTATAGATAAATTCATAAGAAATCGGAAGAAAAATACTGGCAGCAGTAGTAACATAGGTTTTGATAATAACAACTTCACTACCAATAGTGACAGGGTTGAGAAAGAGTTCAAAGCCTCCACTGTGTTACCATACAAAGAAGGCAGCTCAGAAATGTTACGAAGATCTGTCAATTAGGCTGGGATTAGAGTGCCACTTAAACCTACAAACTCATTTAGAAACAAGCATTGTAGGTTGAAAGATCCCACTGATCCAGTTAAGAAAAATAATTTGGTTTACTAAATCCCTTGCTATGATTATGAGGTCAAATACATAGGTCAAAGTAGCGGGCCAGGGTCAATTGGAATAACAGAGAACGGAAGCTTAGCTAAATCAAGATTAGTAGATCCTAATAAGATAAGAAATTTAGAAAAAAAAGCTCGGCTATAGCTATGCGTGCAATTACACACAATCACATAATAGGGTGGGATACAATGACAGCATGAAAAACTGAGTTGGGTAGGGAGAAAGATGGACAACCAAATCCTTATTTATTGAATCAACACCAAATACATGTAGTAGAAAAAATTCTACACCTGTCCCAGATATATGGATTGTTAAACTTCCCTTGTCACAACGATGGAGAGAAGATTAGAACTATATTTAATGAACTGACTAAAACAGAATAAAGTCTCCTCATTTAATGTCAGCTTGTTCGGATTACGAATAAGTGAACAATTGCTAAATATTTTTTAAAGACCAACGTAAACTGCCTGCTTTTCGTAGTTTTACTAAACGTTTATGGATAAAAACAGTACTGATCTTTAAATTATGATATAGTTTACAAATAGTTTCGTTTAACAGCTTCAGATTGTTAGGACTTCGTCCCATTACTAGCCACAGATACCCGTTTATCATAATTCAGACTCAGTAGGAAACTAGTTTGTTTTTATGTTTTATATTTTCTGTGTGCTTTGAAGTTTCTTTAGCAATTGGATTTGTTTTACGGGGTAGAATTGCTAGTCCTACGCCCCGTTAGCAACTAGTGAACTAGTTAAGCAGGCGAGGTTTAATGCCCAAAGAAGTCCAGGTTAGATTGTGACTATAGTTCAAGCATAATATTACTTTTCATAATTCACCTGAATCAGACTTACCGTTACCTTGATATTCACTGTTTTGAAGGTTTATATTCACTTGGTTAGCTATATGATAAAATATATTGCACAAAAGTAGGAGTTTATCACTAAAAGTACACCGAACACTTCAGACGATACAACCTTAAAGCTCAATAAAAAGTGTATCAGAACTGATTGTTTGATAGTACCTTATGAGTAACGAAAAATGATAAAGTATAGTGTTTCATATTAAATACTGCTCAAATGTTATGTGCCTTCGGAGTGTGTCAAAAATCGGGGGATTAATTATACGATTCTATATTCTCATCTACATATTTTTAAAACATGTACTGTAAGAAGTTAAATTCCTTTCAGTTAGCCAAACACACACACACCTATTTATATAAACGTGCATATTTTCTTCGTGTCATTGTGCATAAACAAGTGAACGGAAGCAATTTTCGCTCAGTTTTTAGACTCTATATTGTAGACACAAAGAATTTGAAAAAAATACAGACAAACACTTACTTTCATGATCTTTAAAGAAAAGGCGAACTAACAGCCAAGTTGCTTGCATGCTTACTAAAAAGTGTTATTCCACAGTACTCATTAATTTATTAATGAATGCAAACAATCACAAGATGATAATGGAAAACATTTAGACGCATAATAAAGAAATCAAATCGATGGATAAAATGCAATCTTTGTAACTCAGGTGGGTGATCTCGGTTGTGTTGCTTTCTCTGAGCTGGTTGGTTTAGTCATGAAGCTTTCATTACCTTCCTGCAATTCAAAAATCTGTAAATATCTTGAAATTTCTCATTATATTCTGTTAAAATCTGTGATAGACACCAACTGTTTAACACTCATAAGTCCTTGTAGATCAGAATCAACAGTATATGAAGGCTATTTGAATGCCACCATCATGCCTATTACCGCGTAACAAGGTAAAAATAAATACTGGCCTCAGCTGGTAACTCAAACGAAGGTTATTTCTCTAGCTATTAATACAGTTGAGGATGAATATCCACCTCAGTAATCTAGAAAAATTATACTTCAGTATAGCAGGACTATATTCAGTTTAAAAATGAGATCATTTTAGCAGTGACTAGAAATCGAATCAAATAAAAAGTTTCTAATTCAACATATACCCTAATACTGCAGTACACTTGGAAAGAATATTACTGAAATCCAATACCCACCTGTAAACCACAGTCAGTGATAGAAATCAGATTAGTACTTCAAAAATCCATCAAAATATTTCCATTCGGTAATGTCCTACCTATTGATTTAAATAATCTTGTAAAAAATAGTGCCTGAATTATTCGTAGAATCGTACTTTATTTAATCTTTGAACACATGACTTTAAAAATCAAGTGTTGAAAGTGGTGTAATTACATTGATATGATTATGAGCAATAGTTTATGCTCAAAATATCAAGTAAGTAACAGTGTATCACTGTGTGTTGTAAATCAAATAAACAAATCTAATATAGAATTACTAATTCGAGGATAATATAAAACCTGGAAGCAATGGGCAGCTCGTTCATCATAGTTTGGGACTGTTCAACAGTGAGCACTCACAATGTTGCTAGGGATTGGACCCAGGACCCTCAGGTTTCACGGTGAGCATGTCATCGTTCAATCATTTCGTTAAATCTCATGGTCTACTTTTTTCAACCTCAGAAAATTCGTAATACACCCCAACCATGTGTCACTGCCAATTCGCTGAAATCTACAGGTTACGATTTATCACTAGGACTTTGCGAAATCCACCTGAAAGCTTGTTACCAGCCAGCATTGGATTTCCATAAGGCATAAAGGCTTATGGAGAATTGAATGATAACGTCCTCATTATGAGATCTGGGTTCTGTCACCAACGAGATTATGGGCGCATCCTACTCGGAAATCCCAAGCAGAAACGAAACAGCTGTCCAAAACTTCTAGGTTTTCAACGGTTGTCAATGGTTGTTCAATTAGCTGCGTGTTAAGACTTCTACTGAAGACCTGTTATTAACAAATACGCTAGCATACCCAATATTACGAGATTCTAGCACAACAAAGTGGTGACTTCTAACTTCCCAGCTAATAATCACCAACTAATAATAATAATGACACCAATGAGAATCCAATAATGAATGATCGCCAAGTCAACAAAGCACGAGAAAGAGTTAAGTTCGAGGCAGAATCAGAAACTGTATATGCTTCTTCTGCCCACAGACATTAAGCTTTTGTTTGTAAGTCATCAATTCAGGTTCCTCTGGTAACCTTTCCAGACTTTCTTATGATTCTCATTGCAATGAACTATAACCAACTCACTAGTATTACTCAGTGGAAGGGAAAAATATTGCAGCTGAAAAAAAAACATTAAAAATCTTATTTACAATGTATTTGTTATGCTTTTAGTTCACGTCTATTTTCCTGAAAGGACAGATCTTTAAAAAGTTATCACCCTGACATGAGGTTTGAGGCTTATGGAGATTGTATTTTCAGAGGTAGTATACATCATGGGATGACATCACTTGGGGAACCGATGGAAACCTTGGAGCACTGGATAGCTTTTTCGTCCTACTACTAAGACGTACTAAGACAAAACAGCTTTCCAGTGCTCCAAGGTTCCAGCTGGCTTTTCAACTGATATCAGTCTGTGGTGAATACTACCTTAAAAAATCTCTGGTACGTTTGAAGTCCCCGTCGGTAATCATCCGGTTAACATAATTTGTGATTTCGGAACAAGTATGGCATGAACCATCCAAGTAAAAAGCATGCTGATCAAAGTCACCACTCTTCAGTGAACTCTTGCATAATCGTTGTTTTGATGATTGTAATTTCTTGTTGTTCCGTTGGCCTAGTGGATAACACTTTGACGTTTGAAGCGATGCGTACAAAGTTCGAGTCTCACTAGGGTACATGTACAACCAGCTGATGAATCCCAAAAAGTATGAAACGCACGTCCCAGGTTCTACTGTTAGTCATGTATAATCAATCAAGTATCAACAGCAAGTAAAGATCCATTAGGAATTGATTAATTTAGGTCTTTGAATGTTCCATTATACTTAGAATCCTTAGTTTTTGTAATCGAAATTTTCCTCAAGCTGAATTTCAATAATTTTTCTTTCTATTCAAGAAATGATTTAATTGAACAACTAATCTGGCAGTCTGAACCACCTGAAAATGGATCACTCTTAGATCATCCAGAGATTGGAGACAGAAATGTTTCAAAGAATCTATTTACACGTATGTATAATGACAATAATAATCTGCTTTATTAAACCCTTTTCAATTTGCTCATAACATTTAATCAATCAGGTGAAAATGTGGTTTTAGTGGATAATTAATGCAACATGCTCACAGGCAGCTGTTTGTTTGTTTATAAATTGACTTTAATGTATACTACGTTTCCTACTTTATGAAATTTTACTGGTTAGGTAGTCATACGTAGCGTAATGTATACAATGAAGGTGTTTAAGGATCTTAGAAAGCCTTTATTGCGTCTTTGAAATACCTTGTAGGTGCCACACTATAATTATTATTATTATTATTTCTCGTTGGTTCCTAGTGGAACGTACGGCTTCAATAGCACACCTCCATTACACTCTCTTATCTGCTGTCTTTTGAACCTGGCACCACGAATGCCCACAAGCTGTCATTTCTTCCTCACATCATCTCCTCCATATCACTCTCGCCTCGACGCCCAACTCGTCGTTTCCCATCTGGGTTCCACTCGAGGGTCTGGCCTGGTGCGTGATGTCCCCAATCGACCTTCTCAGTGTATACCCTATCCATCTTCACTTTCTTCTGCATATTTATTGAGTGATAGGTTCTTGCTTCGTTGGTTTCTTGCCAGAGAGAGTCCTATGCTACGTATTATTCTGGCCATCTGATCTTCAGTATCGAGTGAGCATAGGTGGCAACTGTTCATGATGTATGTCTGTGGTTTGTTGGCAATGCTTTTCATGATACGACAAGTTTCTGAACCGTATGGTAGCACTGGCTATAAATTAAGATGAATAAAATCATTCAGTCTTTCAGCAGTCTCTTTTCTAGAGAATGTATTGCATTTTTATGAGTGATAGTAATCTGTCTTATCATGAAGTTAATTATTAATTGTGAACTGATTAATCTTCAATTGAAAGTGTAATGTTGAAGCAGCTGTCTGCCAAATTACTTTTCGGTCGACGCTGTCGAAGGCCTTCTCAAAGTAGATGAACTTGAGGTAAAAATCCAGTTGACTGCCACTCTGTAGTCTGTTCTATGATGATGCGTAGCATTGCGATTTGATCCTCACATGAATTGTTTTCCTGAAGCCAACCAGCCTGTTTCGGTTGTGATCTTGTATCCAGAGCATCCTTTAGTCTCTCCAGGATGATGCGGCTTAATATTTTGCTTGGGATCGACAGCAGCATGATTCCTCGCCAGTTCTTGCAAACACTGAGGTCTTCCTTGTTCGGGAGTTTGACAAGGTAACCCTTCTTCCAGTCACTCGGAAGGTACCTTTTTTTCCCTGCAAACCTTCTGCAGTAGTGGTGTGAGCATGTCCGCTGTTGTCTCTGCATCTGTTTTCAGCGCTTCTGACGGGATTCCATCTGGTCCTGCTGCTTTCGCGAATTTCAGCAGTTTTATGGCATTCAGGACTTCTACTTTTCTCTAAGGGCTTGTGTTCACTGGTAGTTATGCCGTTGCTGGTGGCGTTTCTCCACGAGTCGCAGGTGGTGGTCGATTCAAGAGCTTTTTGAAGTGGTTGTTTCCTTTTTTTCTCCTCTTTGGTAACTGGCTTTCCTTCACTGTATTTCATTGGTTTCGTCTGCGTTGATCTCTTCCCGGATAGTAATCTAGTTATTTGACATAATGTTGCAACCTGTTCTGCTTCGCTTGCTAATGTGCCATGTAAGTGTCTTTTGTCGTTGCACGCACTCTTTTTCATTTCTTTGTCCAGTGTTTTATACGTTGTACTCAGTTCTTCTTCCGTTGTGCATCCTTGCACTGCACTAGTTCATCTTCTGCTTTACTATCTTCTTCTCCCTGCTCTATCAGCTTCCATGTGTCCGTCGAGATCCATTCCTTGTCTTGTTTCCTCTTCCTTCCTAGTGCGGTTATGCAGGTTTCTTTCCACATCCATTTCAAAGAGTTCTAGTTTTCTTCCGTGCCCGATCCTTCAGGGATGTTGCTCAATGTCTCCCATTTTGTTCTGATTACAGGCTGACGTGAAGATGTCCTTTGTAGTTTCGTCTTCCAGTTTCTGGGTGTTGAACTTGAACTGTGGTCTATTACCAACTTCTTTGAAGGCTTTCAACTTGATGTGGAAGGTCCTATGCACTAGATATTGAGTGGTGTTGACCTACATCTGCTCCCCTTCTTGATCTTGTGTTCAGTAGACCGCGTCTCCACTTTCTTAAGATTGAGATGAAGTTGATCTGATTTTTAGTGTAGTCTGTCCATCTGGTGAAATCAAACCCATGTCGCTGCCTTATGAATATCCTAGTGTTTGTACATACTGCCTCACCTCCAATCATCAAATCGCTGAATGCGCAGAAGTATGCAAACAGTTCACCGTTCCCATTCATTTCACTGAGTGCTTCTGAAGTGCTTCTTCTCTTCCTGTGTTGTCCGCTCCGAGTTTGGCATCCATGTCACCCATTAGAACTTTGATGCCGCCAACTGGGCTGGGGCCTTTACTTTGCTGATTGCAGTTGCCTGTAGAATTCTTCCTTCTCTTGATCTGCATTATTTGTTGGCGTGTAGCATTGTATGACTATGACTTTGCTTCCTTTTGAGTTGAATCTTGCTGTCATCTTCCTGATCCTGGAGGAGATCAGTTACCACTGCACAAGAATCTTCTGTGCTCTTGAGCCCATCATGATAGCCACCACCTGGGTGTGCTTGTGATTGTCGTCATGGTGACCAGAGTAGATTATTGACTCTCTAGTTGACAGTTTGGACAGTCCACTTCCTTTCCACCTGCTTTCTCAGATTCCAAGCATTTCCATGCCATACCTCCTCATCTCTTTTGCAATCTGGGCAGCCTTGCTAGGTTCAAACATAGTGCGGACATTCCATGTCCCCACGTTTACTTTCACTTTCATCGAGAGAAGACACATTGGCCAACTGGCTTCCCGAAGGCTTTCACCAACTGACGTCATTTCGTCTCTCCGATTCTAGCGAGGAATAATCAGTTTGTGTAGGAATAAGTTTGCTTTTATTTTTTATATTTTGTCTGTGCTTTGAAGTTTCTGTAGCACTTGGATTGGTTTTACGGGTAGGGTTGCTAGCTCTACGCTCAACCTTCCATCTTTACCTGGGCTTAGGACCGGCTAGTAACTAGTGAACTAGTTAACCAGGCGACGTTAGGTGTGACACCAGGCCTTTTTAATAGCTGTAATAATTTCATATCATTATTCATTATAGAAGTGTTATTTTAAAAATATACATGTGAAGGGGATTTTCATCGTTATGTTCTACAACTTTTGAAGAGTATGCTTCGATGAACTGTCTTCCATTCAAACAAAAAACACTTGAACTCTACAAAAACATTTCACCGATTGAATTATTTATTCAGTCGTTTATGAAGCAACTTCTTAAGGTGTTAATGAGTATTTTTCTCTTCGAAGACTAGATGAATAGTTCATGGTGCTATTAGTTAGTATAAAACTGAAGCTGAAATATTAAGTTATGATACATTGTATCGCTTGGTAAAAGGATAATTTATTCTTTAGGTAGACTCAATATTTCAGTTTGGAGGAAGTTGATGTGTGGATATCTCTTAGCATTGTCATAAAAAGAAAGGGATATTTGTCTTTACTTTTAATAACTTTCAATGTATTGATAATCCTTTATCTTGAGTGTTGGGTATCTCAAGGATTAATTCCTTAAGTGTATTCTATGTTCTGTCTGCAGTACAATAGCCAGTCTACTGTTCAAAACTTAAGAATAACTAACTACCCCACCTGCCATCGTTTGCCTTAATGTCACAATACATAGTTTTATTTAAATAAAGTATTAACCCTAACTAGTTACCTGTCATTATCTTAAATGGAAAGATAATTTTTTTCCGAAAGGTCTAAAGTCTAGAGTAGGGTGAATACACTTTAAGGGCGTTTGGTTGTTGAATGGCCTTCATTGTTTTTCTAGTTTAAATATTCTACTCACCTATTTAGTATGATATTTCTTCTTTTCGTTACTTCATACTTTAAAATCCTTAAGAATTTTCATTTATAATGTCTTATTATTCGACACATAAACAGTGATATCTCCCTTGCTTTTTAAACATAACATCACCATATTCTAGTTCTTAGCAATTGTAAAGGAGTTATCTGGGGCAAGTTTAACCTCATTGTTTTTATTTTTATAAGATTAGGACTATGTATTTTTTTCCTAGTCAGTTGGTTTTGAACAGAACTGTTAATCAGTTGCTTGTCTTTCAAGTTTATTCACAATAGACGAAAGCACAGATTTTCTTTGATTCTAAAAAGCTTGAGACTTGATTGGTTATTTATCCCTGCCTTTTGGTTGATTAACTTTGTTAGTTAAAGTCTTAATAAATACTAATTTACATAAAGCCCATATAGAATGACCAGGTGACAAGTATCTACAGTTTGGAACCTGTAGTTTGCAAATAAGACTTAATCATATCTTTTTCAACACACATGAAATCCATTTGCATCCTTGATGCTCCGTAAGATGAATGAACCCCCCTAAGTGATTCCTAACTAAAAATAGACATCGCCCTTGTTTCATGGATAAAGATGTTAAACCCAGTCTTGAGGAATCTGCCCGACTTCTTCGTCAAAGAAAAAGCTGCACTTGAAACTTGAATGCAATGGTAATTCAGCTAACCACAGTCTAAAGGGAAGAATTCCAACATCTCTAAGAAGAACCTTCTGTGTAGCAATTTTTTAACAACCTGAAGGATAAAGCCTTGTTTCTGACTACCTTTGCGGATTCATACCACTTCATCCGCTCTTTTAGTCGTTCAGCGTGAGTCCTAACCAAAGTGATTCAGGAACACTAGCATTTATGGTTGCTGAGAGGTGTTAGCACCTTCACAAAGAGTTAATTTACTGAACACATCATCAACAATAACCATTTAATCTTAACACTATCCTGTCTAAAAGTTATCCACAGAGTCAAAAGGAGCTTAATAATAGTAATGTGTTTGCCTCCTTTTTATTGCTGAAAATTTAAATATTAAAACATAGAGCCAGTTGTCTTGCACACAGAAGGAACTTGTTCAGCCTATTCTGTCTTCATAGTCTTATTCTTGTACTTTTCAGACCAAGCCTTCTTTTGTTTCTTCAGTTTTGTACACTTCTTGTTTAATATCAACTTTTAATTGTCCTCTTATTATTTCGATAACAATCCATTCCTCGAGTATCTTACCAATTACTCAACAAACTGTAGGCTTGTTTTATCTGTTTGTTACTATATCTTTGAAAGGAAACAAATGACTGTAAATGTAGAAACCAATAGGAATTTACAAAGAAAATAAGATTTTCAAATGATTGCGATTGTACAGTGACGCAAGTGAAAATCTCTCAGAAGAGTATATCCATTCGACTACTCTTTGTTTTGTTTTTAATATATTGATGAGGAACTTTCCTAAATATAAAATATTGATTAACAACCCAACATAGAGAAATGGGATGCACAGATTAATCAAATGCAAACCACGTAGTATAAAATTCTCCATGTATGTTTACCAAGGCTGTACAAAGCGTGTTCAATCCAAACTCATTTCCAAACACTCTCATGTATGGCTGTCTAAAGGATAGTGTATAGTCATCAACAAGTCGATTTATGAGCCTTTGGTTATCTTTGGCTACTGTGCTACACGAAAGTCCTCTTCCAAAGTCATGTATAAAGTGAAGGTAAACATTTCGAAGTGTTTGCGTGTTCGCCCCCTCAACAAACTTGATCTTTGAGTTCAAAAAAGATGCATTCAGTCTCTAATTTTACCTTGATCGTAATCTCCATAACACAGTTTATTCATTTCTTTGTTTATTTACTAGAATCCCATAACACTTTTTGATGACCTTGACTTAACCTTCTAGCTGTTATAACCGTATGACCTTACTGACCTTTTTTGATGACTTGATATTGATCTATTAGTCACTGACAGATATATATGGTTGTAACTAAGACTACCATGTGCAGCTTTTGCAAATGATTCGTCAAAAAGAAAATTTTCTACGAAGAATTGTCTTTTGTTAATTTTCATTATCTAACGGAACTATTTGCCACCTGCCAAGTGATCCACAGTGGAAAGCTCCATGACGTCTTTGAAGTGAGGACAGGAGTAAGAGAAGGTTACCGCTTACTATCATCCATGATCTTCCTGATTGCGGTTGACTGGATCATGCAGTGAACCGTGAGGAGCAAGAAGGGGGGCATACGCTGGCTGGACCGATGTAAAGAGCCTAGAAAATTCGGATTTCGCTTGCGATTTATGTCTAATGTCGTACAAACTAGAAGATTTACAGGCGAAAACTAACAAGTTGGCAGAAAAGTCAGGGAAGCAAGGACGGGACTTCAAGTGAATTTAGAGAAGACAGAGGTGATGAAGATACCCAACCAGCAATAGCATCAACAACAAGCACCAATCACCATTATTGGGAGAAACCTAAAGAAAGTAGTCTCTTTCACCTACCCACTTACCTAGGCAGCATCGTTTCAACTTCAGGTGGCTACACAGACGAGGATGTCAAAACCAGGATCGGAAAAGAAAGACAGGCTTTCATTAATCTGAAATTAGTGTGGAGATCTACTGCACTCAGCACAAAGAACAAGATCCAGATTTTCAACACTAATGTCAAGTCTGTGCTTCTGTGTGATGGTTCAGAAACTTGGCGTGTCACGAAAAGCATTGCCAACAAACCACAGACATACATCATGAACAGTTGCCACCTATGCTCACTCGATACTGAAGATCAGATGGCCAGAATAATACGTAGCATAGGACTCTCTCTGGCAAGAAACCAACGAAGCAAGAACCTATCACTCAATAAATATGCAGAAGAAAGTGAAGATGGATAGGGTATACACTGAGAAGGTCGATTGGGGACATCACGCACCAGGCCAGACCCTCGAGTGGAACCCAGATGGGAAACGACGAGTTGGGCGTCGAGGCGAGAGTGATATGGAGGAGATGATGTGAGGAAGAAATGACAGCTTGTGGGCATTCGTGGTGCCAGGTTCAAAAGACAGCAGATAAGAGAGTGTAATGGAGGTGTGCTATTGAAGCCGTACGTTCCACTAGGAACCAACGAGAAATAATAATAATAATAATATAGTCTGAGGCAGTTTACTATTTTATGAAAGATAATAGCAGAAATAAATGTTTTTTCTTTGTTTATATGTGATCGTTTCACTATAATTCAAACAGTAAAAATATCCAATGTTTTTTCAGTCATTTTAATCAGTGACTTTTGTGACAGAAGAGATTTGATATGATCTATCACTCTATACAATTCTTTGTCACCAATGCATACTATTTGTTTATCCTATGAAAACTTAAATTTGGAGATGAACTATAGAGATGTTGCTACTGTCCTAAATGCGGTTACTGTAAAACGAGGGTTGGAATAGTTTTTTACTCGATTGTATAATCTATTTTATTTCTTCACCGAATTCATAACACTGATACACTTGTCCCTGCCAGTAACCTGAATTCAACTTCTCTCTTCTTTTAAACAACTAAGGCATTTGTTGAGAAAACCACATAACTCAGTTCTTTCTGAAGTTTTTGTTAATGATGTTGTCTAGAATGATAATGAAAGCTTCATGACTAAACTATCCAGCTCAAAGAACATAACATCGTCAAAATCATCCTCCTGAGCTACAAATATTCTTCATCATAACTCAGTGTGCTTCGATACTTTTAATAGTCTTCAGTTATCTCTTTTGAAGCGTAAATAAAGGAAAATATGTTTTAAAGTCTTGAAACTTTTATTTTCTTTTATACATTATAATAAAATATAAGAAAAACTTACAGAATTGTATACTCGTGGTTTCCACAGTGGTTTTCGGGAGAACCGAACACCCATCTAGGCTTTTTAAAACTAGGAGGGTATACAGTCTCTTCGTGTGGCTCAACCACATGGATGCGTCATTCGTTCCGTTAATCGGAAACGTGTAATGTGTTATTGAAATGTATTTTGGACGACCTGGTTACACAAACACACATTGTTCTAACCTATGTTTATATGAAATATAACGAGGTATAAATGGGTTTAAAAATAGTCTGTGTAACAAGGGGTCGAATGGTCAGGTTAGAGATCGAATCATAGTTGGAAATAGAAAGATAATATATAAATCTCTATGAATATCAAAGATGAATAACTAATGATAACTAAATATAAAAACAAATTGTTTTTCAATGTGTAGAAAAAGGTCTAAACTTTCTCATAGCTAGAGTTTCAGTAAGTCCATGTGTATGTATCTAACAGATTTTGTGAATAAATTTGAAGGATAAATACAAACTCATCTTGTGACCCATTTCAATGACATGTTTAGCACAGAAAAAGTTGCATACGTATTATCTGGGCCAGTAGTTTCATTCAATTTCCTTTGCTGTCGCAGCTGTTTCTGAATATACTCCATATTCCTTTTCTTGCATACATCGACTACTATTCCTTGTGTATATGTAAACTGATAAACGCAATTAGATGTGACTTCATCCTTCAAATGCTATGAGGGTTTGCAAGAGAACATATATTTCGTTTTCTCTATGATGATGACCTTTGCTACACAATATATTCTTCTTATGCCTACCTTAATTATTTGTTTGGTGGTCAGACTTTGAGAATCACCCATATATGGTAGTATGAAACGTACATTTTTCTTTGGAAATGAATGAACAATGGTTCTTGCTTACTTGGCGTTTCTATAATCATTTATAAATTTAAGCAGATAAATGTCCCTATTAATACTCTTAAACAGCTTTCAGTTTCATCTTTTTAAGTATAATTTGTGCATATTCTTTGAATTTCATTGAACAGAAACTTGACTAGTATCCATTGATACTGAAATTGATAGAAACTCTGGCAATTTAGGTACTGCTCTACCCAAATAGGCTTCCTATAGATGAATAGTCTTATTGGCCTATCTTGGTGGTAAGTTATAAGAATGTTTAACAATGGTAAACAGGCGTCTTTTTCTGTCTCAGATGTTAAAGCTATGCTATCCTCAGCTTTATTCACTCGATCCAGAATCGATATAACATCTTCCGACTTATCAAGTTTGGCTGTGATGTCATCAATATACCTTTTGCGGAAAAGAACTTTTGTAGTTACTTTTTTAGCTGGACTTTCCGCATGGAAACTAAAGATGTCTACCAGCAACTAACGTAAAGAAATTCTCCTGGCTATACCATCAATATGCCTGGAACATTCATAATTAAACATAGATTTTGCATAATTGTTGGGTAAAATAAGAAAATCCTCTAGATAAGGAAGGGAAATCAACTGTCTACACAAAAGAGGAACTGATAGACAAAGAATTTGCGTCAACCGAGATCATAGTTCATAGATCAAAAGTATCTTTTAAAACAAACTCATGAAACTGCTTCTCAGTGGGATCTAGTATCTCCATTCAAAACTGAACAAGCTTTCTAGTTGCAGACCTGTACATTAACACTATTGAACACCGAGAAGATTTGAGGATCGGAATTCTGTGGGTTTTAATGTATCCAGTTTCTTCTTAATAGTAACATTTATGGTAACAAGTGTCACAAGATAGAAAGTTACTCTCCCGTACAGAATCTATTGATTTTCTACGGAACATTCCTTTTGGGAGAAAATAACAAAATGTTTTGATACTGGTTTTCAATCACGATAACAATACCTGAACCTTTATCTTGTCTGAGAATAATATCACTGTTATACTTCAGTTCTTTTAAGATTTGAAGGTGTTCAGACGTTAAAATACTCTGCTGTTTTAAATGAATGGCCTGTACAGAACTGATCAGCAACATTCCTTATCATAGTTTTCAAACAGCCTTGATCGTCAACAGAAATGGGAATAAGCGATTAAAATTGGTCATGAGGATTCACAAGAAAAGAAATAACAAAATTAGCCACATCTAAATTTTATTTTAGATAACACTATCTGGGGTCAACTATTCAATTATAAATTGAACACGTGTATTGCTAACTGTTACCAAATTTATAGCTAACACTGCAAGCCGATTGTAGATTGTCCTCTTTATATTTCTTTCTCTTTTTATTTCAATAGTAATTCAACGTTTTTCTAAAGAAATTTCATCTTCACACTCTCAAAGCACGATTTTCAAGGTATTGGTTGAAGTAAGTAAATTCTACATTGAATGTATTCAACTTGTTTTAATCAGATATAACTGCTGTCATTTTGTTTATACTTATAGACATTAATTGAACGACCATGGTTATCTGAAGAATTGTACTGCCAACTTACTAAACAAACATTACAAACTAATACAACTAATCAGTGAGTTAGTTACTGTATTCCAATTTTATTTGATAATGGAATGCTATGCAAATTAATAAGTTATTAATGTTATGTTTTTCTTTGATATCATTTATATGCACAGTTTTATTTTGAGAAAAAGTATCAACTTTAGACTGTTTTCTGCGTGATGTCGCTAATTCCTTCCTTTAGTGATAATTGATGGACCTATATTTATCAGAAATGCCATTTTAGTTTTTAGCATCAGTAAATAAATAATTAATTCTGTCTAACTGGATTCATTAGTTACATTTCCAGTCATATATAAGTGTGTGTATGCTTGTTATCGTAATCAATCATCTTTGCAAGGTATTTCAGTTGATTTCACCTTCATCAGTTTTATACAGACGAATTACATTTATCACGTATTTGAAAACAAATACCCTATAAATATTGAATGTAAGCAAAACAGATCGATAGTTGTATTAATATCATTCCCCTTACTCATATAACGCAAAAGTCAGGGAATGAATGGTTCTTGCATTGCTCGTTCTTTATATTTACCCAGCTGAAGGGTATTGAACATCCACTTCCACTTTTTGCTAACTAATAGGTTACAAGAAGTTATATGGAAAAATAAATTTATCGAAATTACTAAAATTAATCATTGATACTTGTGATTTCCTATTGTGGTACTGGGTTGATTTGATCGCCCTCTGTTGGCAGATGAACTCCTATGCGGATGCCTCGATGGTGCCTGAATATTCACCATGTTATATTTTACCTAGTGGTGGAAAGCAGTAGGATCCAGGGTACACATTTCTTGTCAACAAAGATCGATCAATTCGATCCAGTAAAACAACAAGAAATTACGAAACTAGTTGCACTATATGTTATCCCGGTGACTCATTGGCCTAGTGGGTGACGCTTGGGTGTCGTGGACCGGTGACAGTGAAGTTCGATTCCCAGTAGGAACGCAATCACTTGCTGGGGTGCATGGGATTGAATGTGACTCCCAAATAAGACGAGACGCACATCCTGGACCCAAGTGTCAGTGGCCATCAAGTAAAAAAGAAGTTACTAAAATTACGAACCTAATATTTTAGATTACTTCTCAACCAATTAAGGTACTCAATGGGAATATTTGCTTAGATGAATCACAAGGCAAACGGGTCCTGTTGTATTCACATATGTATGATGTAGAAAATTTTGATGTAATAGGATAACGTTTTGGACACAATTTATTGTCCATATTCATAGCAAGTAACTCCGCAACTTCGACACAGCATTTCTATATTCCTAATTTTCTCTCCTCTGGGTTGACAAGGGTAACTGAATTTTCCATATATCTTAATAAGATAGGAATTTTAGAGAAAAGCTCTACACGCAATTACACACAATCACACAGTAGGTGAGATAGAGCGACAGCGTTAAAAACTAACTAAATTGATACTATTTCACTGTGTGACTTTTCTGATAGAGACTAAAGTGGAATTACAATCTTTCACAGTCCCCAAGTTTTACTCCTATATTGATGTAAGAGGCTACAGATGAATGCAAATCGATGCATTGTAGTTTAGATATCCCAAGTTCACTCATTAGACCACTGGAAGAAATACTCGGAAATTCCTAGACCTAGATTTTACTCCATTTGATACACAATAGCAAGACGTATCTGCAACCTCGAGATTGTTGATGTCAGCTGCATCCAGAGAAATTATTAATGGGCTCCTTTGGCTGCAAGGGACGTGTAGTTGTTTACTTTCCGATTACTAATAAGGGTGGATCATCCAGTCCCACAGGAGGCCAGCCGTGGTTCGAATAGCCAGGTGATAACGTTTTTGAATGGAACATTAAATGATTGGCGTCCGAATCTCTCAGGGGATATCACTTATCTCTAGTTTGTAGATGCTACTGCTGGCAAGTGTCAAAAGGAAGGAACTTTAGATGCAAAGCTTTCTGTTGATCACCTTCAATCACTTAACCCTATGATGGTGAAACACCGTAGTGCTAAACGACTGATAGAATATAGTCAACACCTTAGACTAGACAACATGAAATTGTCTAGTCTATGTTTCATGTAACTGGCTTTAATTCCTTGCTATGAGTATGCATATTTAACAACAGAATACGCATACATATCTATAACCCAGCTCGCTCTAGCAGTTCAGTCATCTGGCTGAATGTTAAACTGAGTTTTTCTGGTCAATCCCAAACGAATTGTTTCCGTCACCATGATCTGCATAATCAGCGTAATCGGTTTCCTACTACTAATCTTATTCGGTAATGAACTCTCTATTACCTTGATTTCTTACAGAAACCTTGGACAGTTATAAAAGTAGTCACCAACGAGAATCTGGCAAATTATCAGTTGCTTGCAAATTATCATCTAACAGTATGGTTAGTTTGTGTAGCGTCCCTAACATAATTACTTCTTTAACATTCGAACTACCGACCAAAAAATATCTCCAGTTTATCAAAGAAATGTGTACATCCAACCAGACACTAGCCACTTTGATTACCACCACAGTCAAGAAACAGAAATATCCAGCTTCCTTCATCCTAGATAGTGTTCTAAAGAAATTTTGATAAGGCTGATTTATTCCAAGACCCAGGACAAACTAGCACTAAATTCCATAATAACTCTGTTGAATTTCTGAACTACTCACAAGTAGTATGACTAAAGGGAACAATTTCATTTGTTGAGTTTCAGTATGAATTGATTATGAATTTCTTAAAGTTTCATTCAAATACTGATATATATGCTTTGCTTTTTAACAAACATACTTTGATCTTCATATGACATGAGTATACAACAGTGTTCTGCGTTCTATCCAAACCAATGTCAGTCAAACAGTTTCTAAACTAAGTATCATTGAAACGTTGAGTCTTTTAACTTGCCTACAGCGATCTCAACAATCAACACCTAGGATACTGACAGTCTAGTCTACCGAATTCCAAACAAATTATGGAAATCAATCGAAAGGCTTATATATGGAAGAGAGTAACCCTACTACTACCTCCTATGAGTTTTCCACAGCAACAATATTCTTTTTCTTGGAATCTTGCCGTTTTAGCCAGAAGAATTTGCAACTCAAATATTCACCGCGTGAGACGAAACTGAAGTGCCTAGGGACGGCCTCAAACCATTGGAATCAGGTACAAAAATAGAAGAACGCAAAGACTTAGTGAAGAAGTCATATTAGTGGATGTAAATGAAGATAGCGAATAAGCTGAAGACGAAGATGCACAGATTATCGTGATCCGACTAGAGGTCCATGCTTCATAGGAGGTTCATATTTACGTCTTATTTTGTGCTACCGACAATGAAAGATGTAATTTTCTTCCTACTTAATGGAAAAAGAAAACATAAATCTTCGAGTGTGACTGGAACTGATATATGCCATCTATCTTTCGTCTAAGGACTGATTTCCTACAATTCTCTCATTTCAGGTCATCAGTGATACAAAATAACCATCACTTTTGGAGGTTTGTGGGGGTTTATTGCTTTCAGACTGGAATTCATCACAGACTGACATTATTTGGAGGAACATTGCAAACCCGGGAGCTCTAAATGGCTGTTTCGTCCTAGTACGGGACTCTTCAGCAGTGCTCCATTATGACCCCACCAGGGATTGAACTCAGGACCATCAGATTCCGTGGTCACTGCTATGTCGTGAACTGAGAAGTGGGAAATGTGGACCAGTGGGTACCGATCCACTTACCTGATGGCAGCGTGCTGGCTGTGGGTTCTAAAGTTACCGAGTTCGGTCTCTCGTGGAGTCACGGGTGGGCGTTGCTGAAGAGTCCCATACCAGGACGAAACAGCGATCCAATCATCCTAGGTTCCCAACTTTTTTCTAGTTGATGTCAATGCATGATAAATACCAACCAGGTATATCGCTTTGCCATATCAGATTTGTTTATTTGATTTATAACACACAGTGATATAGTATTATTTACTTGATGACGTAAATCAATGTAATCACACTACTTTCGACATCTGATTTTCATAGTTATGTCACTTTATATGAGTTGTTTTTATTGGTAGCAAAATTTTCCACATCTCTGGTATAGGTGTTGCGTCATTTCTATTACATGTGTTGTGTGTTGATTCGATGAACAAAGATTCAGTAATCAATCTCTCTCTTCGCCTAATTATATTGGACCCCTATTGTGTGGTTGTGTGTTAATACATGCATAGCAATAGCCGAGTTTTTTCTAGATTATTGATCTTATTTAGGTCTGTTATTCTGTATTTAGATAGATTCCTATGTTCGGCTATTCTTACTGACCCCGACCGACTAGTTTGATCTATGTACTTGACCCGACTCACAGTCATTACATGGAATTTGATAGATTAGATTATTTTGCTTAATTGGTTCTATCGGATCCTTAAGCCGACAAAGTTTATCTCTGAGTGAGTTTGTAGGTTTAAATGCCACCCTATTATTCCAGCCCTATTGAGGATTCTACCTAAAGTTTCTGAGATACCCCCCTTTTAGGGTAATACAATAGAGGCTGTGAACTTTTTTCTCGTTTTGTCGTTATTAGTCGCACTCGTGTGACTGTTATTTTTTCTATAGCGTAATTAGGAGACAAAGTTTATCTGGGCAATGTGATGCATTTGCGCAATACATTTCGAACAATCTGATCACACATTTACTTGTCAAGTCGGCACATATTAAACTGAGGACTGGGAGAGGGGATAAATGCAACAATTAACACAATAGGGGATTAAAATTAAGAACAATGAGGATTAACTGTTTCAAATTTTTGAAGAAAAGACTCCCTCCATGCACTGTTATTTTTCGTTTTTTATGTGTCCGTAAGAATTTCTTGGTAAACTGCGGAGGATAATTATTAACTATTAGCGCTTTCTTGTACTGAAAACTATCCAACTTGTAAATGTCCATCGAAGTGACCAAAACATATTCACTCGTACAGATATAATTTAACCGCTTATTAACCGTGAAATGTGATACTTTGAATGATCTGAAAGTTAATCATTGAAGCAACGGAATCATTTTCATATGAGTAGGATTTTACTGTGAATCCGTTTGCATCTTAATTTTGTAAGCTAATCTTGTCACCTTTGATTTATATCTTCTTCAGGAACAATTGTGAGCCTACTTGGTTATTATGGAAATTACTGTCAATATTCATTCCAACTACAGATACACTTAGACCGTATTTAGTGAAATATATTGCATTTAGAAATGATATTCAACAGTCAAAATTAAAAGGTTTGTTATGTGTCTAATTTGTCCGAATAGTTTCCTGAATATCAAAATACAACTAAAATGTGTTATTAGGACTTGATATCCCCCTATTGTCGAATTATTATTATGATTATTATTTTCCCCTTGGGTTCCTAGTGGAACATATGACTTCAGTAGCACGTCTCCACTACACTCTGTTCTCTGAAATCTTTTGAACCTGGCTCCACGACTGCCCAGAAGCTGTCATTTCTTCCTCACACGATCTCCTTCATGTCACCCTCAGGTGGGATGTTCAACTGGTCGTTTCCTATCTGGGTTCCACTCGAGTGCCTGGCGCGTGATATTCCCGACCATTTTTGATTTACATGATGAGAATGTTCATGCTATTTTAACATATCACCTCTTTAAATGGGCATCTTCACGTACATCGAGATTTATTCAAAGTAGCATCAGAATTATATTACCTAACTGTATTTCAATAGCTTCTCACTTTCTCAACAAGACAAGATAACATTGTTAAAGAATGGTTCTGACTGAAGTAGCAGCTAGATTTTAGACCCAAGACTTGCGTTTCGTCCTATTTAGGTCTCATCAGTTAGATATGTCCGCCTCCTAATGAGTAATGTTGTTTCTGATTATCATGCTCGAACCCAGTACACAACATACCGAATACCAGAACATTAATTACTAAGCTGATGCTACGACAGTCGCTATATGTGCGACACCTACCAATTATCAGAGTGAAATTACCGACACTGTTGCAGTATCAGCATGAAAAACCGAAATACTAAAAGTGGCCGATCAATTCACTGTAATCACTGATGAGTAGTTATCGAAAAAAACAATAATGTTACTAAACGTTTGATTTGTATTTGTACTTCACTTGTTAACTGATTCGAAGTTAACAACAATATAATTTACAGAATTAAGAAACTGTTTTTAATTCGAGATTCATCTTACATAGTAAATTATGCACACATTAAAGACATCAGTCAACTAAATGTTCTCATTTATTTTAATGATTTAACAGAAAGCTAAACAAACATCTACTTCAGAATACATGGTCTATGGTGTTCAGAATATAAAGGAATATTTTATTTAAACTAGGAAAATTATTTTTCTATATTCTGTGTTTTATAGTACATTTTAATTTCATCAAACATACCTAAAATTCGCTAACTTACTAGATGTGAATTTCTTCCCAAGAAATTTGAAACTAAAACTACTAAGCCATTTTTCAACAATTAACCAAATACTGAAGTTATGCAAAGTTATGCAGGATTTATCTGATATACGGTTCTGTATTAACAAACAGTGGTGGCTAATAAACTACAAACCTCGAATCATGAGGTATCTGTAGATTCAGCGCTATCAAAACACCTTACATCAATAATAAAAACATCTAGGCCATGTTCAAAGCAGACCAGGAGAGAATATAAAAGACGTGCATATTTTCATGCGATGAAGTGAAGATAAAAAGTTAAACAAACGTTCAAAGTAAAAAGAAACACCAGGGGACAACACTTTATTGAACTGGGAAACATGCCAATATCTACAAATGTTAAGTGATGACAAATACGACTGAGAGCAATAAACGTTGTAGTTAAAGTAATATTGTAAGAAATATTATGCTACTCAACAAAAATAAGTAGTATAAAATTAAGACATAAAAAGGAAACGAGGGTACACCACCGAAGGTAAACGAGATCAAGGTTAGAAAGGAATTTTATCCTAATAATTTCGAAAAATAACATAAAATATCTTGCAATATGTAAAAAAAGCATTCATGTTACAATGTAGCTTGCTAACTGAATATTACGTTTACAATTCCTTCATTGTTACCCTTTTTTATCACTTAAGAAAGATTTGATTAATGTCCTCTAGAACATTATACATTCGGAAGCTGCAGTCAGTGTAGAGTACTTCGTGAAGTAGTCGAGAGGAATTATAGCTATAAGCAGGTAAACAATGGTACTGAAGACTCAAATATACTCAAACAGTATATAACCAACATCTCTTCTAAACTATCTGCAAGATATATTACTGTCTACCACGGTACTTTCATCCTTTGTAAATATCTCGGATCAAGAAACTAGAACCACATACTTGAAAGTTGATGGGGCGTCCTCATACCCTTTGATGGCCTTCCGTAAAAGAGTAACGTTGCGTAACTCAGTTTTCAGACGACTTAATGAAATCATGTGACTATTTGCTTCAAGTTTTTTCCGTAGTCATTTATTGATAATTCTTAATTTTTTTTATAACCTTTATTTTTACCCAATATTCAGCAGTTATATCATAACTATTTCAAGATGTCTGCATATACTTCGTGTTTCACGGTTATCTAATGGTTTTCAATATCTGTTGGTCCTTTTTATCATCAATAATCCTAACTTTTTTAACATTAATTTTTGGGGAATTTTAGTTAACCTAATAGATAACCATAACTCTCCAACTTTATCGAATGGTTTGATTTTCTGTTTCTTAGCGTGGAAAAAGGCAATATCTCATTTAACAACTTAGGCCTGGTGAGACTCAGAAGAAAATAATATTCATTCATTTAACGTTTTTGTCTTCTCAATAATGCTAAAGCTGTATTTCGAGTTGTATTTTGGGTTTCCAGTCGGGTCCTATGATCAACGGACTACGGGGAATGCTCAAAGCTGGTTCTGATTATTGTTATTCCTTAAGCCATTCGAGTTGATCTTACTACCCACAACATCACATCACTTGACTAGAAGAGAAGATAGAAGTTGACGACCAGTTCACACACTTCACAACTATGACGTATTTAGCAAAACATATGAACAATGTACAAGGGCTTAATAGAGTAGACGGCCTATTCATATCTTTATGAGTGAGAACAAAGATAGACACCCTAAGGACATTCGTAATTGATTCATTGTTCCTGTTATTCTTTCTGGGTACATATACAACAAAATGCTTTGGGGTTATTCAAGACTTCCATGTAAAAGGAAGGCTTACATAGTTTCATTTTCTTTTCCATCTTCAGCTTGCCTAGATACTATCATTGAAAACATGGAAATCGTTTCTCGCTTTGGCCCGAGAAAGCACCTACCTCCTGACCATATTCTGCAAACCATTCTAGTAAGGAGAATACATGAATTGGTTTTTATTTAATTGAAATCATGGTTATATAAAACAAATTTTTATCTAAACTTAAGAGACATGAAAAAACTGAGTAGGTGAAATGAAAAGTTTCTAGGTATCTGTTAACCACCACTTTGAAACTATACCTTATATAGAGAGGAACTACTGAATATCAAGGACGAATTCCCAGTTATGTCACTCAGATGTGGTCTGTAAGTTTCACTTTCTAGGTGATAAACAAACAGAAGCCTCATGTTGTGTACAACTCTATGGAATGGGATTTATTCTAGATGATTTTATAGTTACCTAGCCACTAGTGAGTTTGTACCATTGGTTGCATTGGATAGTGCAACAAGGCGAAAGGTCATAATCAACTCTATAGGGTTGCTGTCAACATAAATAAGCTAGTCAGTAAGATGAGATAGTGGTTTTGGATGAGATGTGCGGGTTAGCTAACTCATCACGCAATGGTGGTTGAACAAGGTATAGGAAAGAAAGCGTTTACAGTCAAGCGAGGATTCTTCAGAGAATTATGGAACCGTCAACCGCTGTTTTGAACTAATACATTAGTGCACCTGTTTTCCAACTTCCGAAATGTTCCTGCCTGTTCTTAACTTTCCAAACCACCCCAAGCGTGATTTCTGAAACCTATGAATGTGGGTACATATAGGTGATATGCTTAAAGCAACATGCTAGTAAATATGTATTGCCTCATTCTGTTAAACATACTAAACCTATATTCGTTTCATAAATTTCAGTTTTTCACCTCTTTATCTGCTCTTATTCTTATTAATCTTATTCCTCCACTCATTTTCGTTATTCCTGGGGAACTTGCTCTGCACGTCACTGTATTTGTCACCTATTTGATAGCTACGCTTCAACTCGCCCATTCGTTTAAGCTTTAGATCTATACTACTTACTAAAATTAAGCAGTATATTTACGTTTTTAATTATTTTATGAAGTCGTACGTCGAGCCGGTCATTGACAGCAAGTATAACTTTGCACACAGTTTCGTCATTCCAGTACGTTAATTTTCCATCTTCTTCCACCAATTTATTACATTTCCTCATATTCCTCTTGTGGACTGTATTTATGACTCCTGAAACCTTCGCTTATTTTCCGTTCTGCTTTGTCCCATCGTGCAGCAGATGAAACTAGTCACTCTGGAGGATGTTTATGGTAGTGCTGTGATTTCTGACCTGGATGGTTTAATCGTACAACTATATTTGTCATTTTTGAAAACTTTGGGAAGGAGAGCTTGTGAGAACTTGTGCGCAAGCTGTTTAACAGCTTCTTATTGATGACCTTGGATATGACTACTTGTTTCCACTATTTTCCTAATTGCCTGCACATATACTTCAATCAGCTGTCATAAATCTTACTCCATGCCATTCATTCTGAGCTTTATCAGTTGAACAACCAGATCCAGCTCCTGAGCAAATTTGATGTCACTCCAGTCACTAAGTATCCAACCCAACCGTGGACAAGAGAAATACCAATGATCTTACTTCCCTATACTAGTTGTCCAATCATGATATCCTCTCCTAAAGTATTCCGAATCAAGAAGGCATTACCTACAAAGTCATACTTCGATTTGTGATGATGATGACTATTACTGAATTTGAAAGAAAACTTGATTTGTTGCATGAAATCCGTGTGACCAACTACAAGAGTAGTTCGAGAGGCGATAAGTGAAATTCACACAACTCGGTAGTTAACATCCAAGGGTCTTGTTTCAGTCTATTGCTCACAGTTAACAGTTCATTTACCTTTAAGATGGTCAGTAGTAAGATTGAATAAATCTACAGCTCACAATACTCTTATACTGAACACCAACATACTGTAATGCAGTTGCAATAACTGCTTTTATACCTGCTTACTAGAAATGCTGACAGTTTTGGTTGTCTTTCTGTTTGTTTCAGGATGGTCATATTATGCATAAACAAGAAATTTATTTTGCTAACAAAAAGAATAAGATTATATCATTAGGACAGTTATTGCTAATTCAAGATGTTATCCATAATGTGGTCAATAAACTTGGTGCAAATATAATTAGTCCGGTCACAGATTTTGCATTATTTCTTACCACGAAAAACAGCCCAGCTGATAGTAGGTCATAATTTTCATTTTTATTTTGCAAATTTTAGTGTGATTATGTATTAATGACTGTTAGTTAATGGTTTCTTTTTAATTACGCTTTATTGTTTTTAAAAAGATTTTTTTTCAGTCAGAAAATCATTACAAAACTAGAAGTATGGGACTTCCATGTAGGGTACACCCACAACCTCATGAGAAATTGCAATCACGACCGTTAGATTTTATGGTGAGCCTCAGTCTTTTGAGTCAAAATAGCCGGACGTGGGGATCAATCCAGTGGTTGAATGGTAGCGTGCTTGTCTTGAGACTCAACAGTCCCTCCATGAATAGTGGGTGGGGACGAGTTTTGATGTTTTTAAGAATCTTTTAACAACGTCAATCGGAAAAACATTCTGTGCTATGTCTCGAAGAGTTATCTTTTCCAGCTGCTCTTAACTTCATCTTGATGCTAAAGAAATATTACCTCCATTGTCCAATTTCACGTGCATTTACATGTTCACCTGCTCTTTTGGAGCTAGGAACACAGAATGTTCATCGAGAAACATTACCCATCGCGTTCCAGAGCACCCAGCGGTATGGCTAGGAAAAGGGGAACGTAGAGACATAAATTCATCAATCCACTAACATGTAGTTGACTACAACTATGCACTTTCCGAATAATCACTCGACATTATTTACAAGGTCAGGTCAAACTTATCGAAAGGTGGACGCAGAAGTGTGTTGCAGATGGCTTGGCGATATATAGTCTGAAACCAGAAATGTGCATTCAGAAATAGTTTGTACTGTCCCTTTCACTACCTCAGACCCAACTTATCATTTCTGACTACGTGTTTCACCCATCTAGCTCTTGCTTATTTTTGTTTTATTAAATTTCAATCCATTTTATTTTCTCATAATAATCTCACTTCTCCAACTGATGTCGGTCCATGATGAATACCAACCTGAAATCAATAAATAATTCCCCTTAAACCTCAAAATAACACACTTTGTCTGACTGATATTCACCTTTTGTTATTTCACCCAATCTTCACTAAATTGTATAGTAATGATAGATAGTGGCTAGCAGTGGAATCAAGGATGCGCATTTCGTCCTACTCGGGACTCGTCAGCTGCATGTACCAATGCGGGATGTTGTTCCCACTAATACTCGAACCCGAGACCTATCTCTTCAAACGCCAGGGCGTTATCCACTGGCAGTACCTAGGCGTCCCAGCAGGAACCCATATGCCAATTCAGTTCAGTCAACGACGCGATAATACAAGTACTTACATGGAAATTTGTCTACAGTTGTTTCATGAATGTTGAGATCACAAAGCACAATGTCTACAGCCTATCTGTCAGTCTGGCGTAAAACGCTTTAACACATAGAACTCTTATAATGCATGCGTAAAAAATCATTTTAACCTTCATTTAGTCATCTTTTCAGATAAACATGACTTTTATTTTCAAAACGTTATTTAATAGCTTGTGGAAGTGAACCACTGATACCTTTGCAATTGGACACCTATATATTAGATGCACCATTATACAACGATGAATTAGTAGTGCATTTTCGAAGGATATGTTGGACATCCCCATTAGAATTACAGAAAACTCCTCGTGCTTATTTAGAATTTCTATTTGATCAAGTGAGTAAGAAGCCTTTTTATTACATTCGTCTATTTTTCATGGGATTTAATTTGTTTGAATGTATCTTTTATGACAAATTAGTGCTAACCGACTAAATTGTGTTAAAGACTAGGTGGAATTAATCGCCGATTATCTGATCATAGTTTCTGTGGAGACCTCCAAACAGAAGCAAGTAGCTGTTTAGGGGGAATTCTCTAAGACTATTTGACTTAGTTATAATTCATAGAGTAGAGGAGAAACGTTACGCGCTCAAAATTCACTTAGTTATTTTAGGATCCTAGGACCAATGTTGACCACTTATTTGGAATCAAGGTTTTACAACTCTTCTAAGTGCACCCTTTGTATCCATCTCTTCTCTTTAGGCGTTGAAAAATTATTTGCTGTTTCTACTTTTCGGATGCACCTAAGTCACACAAAGGTAATGAATAGTACTTTCCCGTCAAAAGATATGCCAGATGGGCTGTAGTACCGAAAATTGCAGGCGAAGTGAATCTCACCTTTGGTCATACTAAGGCAGTTGGTAGCTGATTGTGCACTGTTTTGTTATAAATTTCAAATACATGAAAAAACAACTGGTCTTTTAGTTATTTTCACCAATAAACCTAGAAATTGTAGCTCAGATAAGTTTTTACATTAAATAAATTTCTTTACAAACCAGTTGCATTCTGGAGATTTCGCAGTGCTTCCTGGCTATTTGAATGAGTGCTACATGAATTCAAAATTCGTAAAAGAATCATCTGTCTGGTTATGATTAACTTGTTAGTTTCAGGCTGAATAATTGAGATCGTTTCCTGAGGCTTACGGAATATCAAAGTCTGCGTGCAGTAAGCATCAGTTGCTATCACAAATATCACCTACGTACTACTTAGTTCCATACCTCTACCACCCTGACCTTCATTGAAACAGGCCATAGTGAGCCCGAGTTAAAAATGATGTGAATATAAACAGAAGTGTCACTTATTCTAAATGGCGTGTTTGAAATCCACTTACACTTTTAAATGTACATGGTTCGTTTTAAACTTTATTTGCCAAGAAAATGACATGCATTATTGAGGCTAAATATCTCATCCAACTAGTTTCAGTCCCATCGATAGATCAGTACTGACTGAACTTATTATATTAAAGCTAAATGACCAGTAAAGCAGTCTGATACCTGTAACAACCTCCAGTTTATAAACCGTAAATACCTAAGAGATCTTTACAACTCCTTGACATTCTCTAATTCGTTTCTAAAAATTGGGAGTGCAGCGATATTCAGAAGCAATTTATATTAAAAGCATGCGGCACTGCCCCCATCTGATGATGCAGATGTCCTGAAGAAAAATTAACTATCATCTGGTCAGGGAAAATCACCCCCATCCCTTTTAAAGGATGAAAACGAGACGCTAATTGGGTAACTGGCATATTAAACTGAAAATATTCCATCAATCTGGAATAAGATTTTAATCTTACCCAACTTCAGAGAGATGGGTTAATCTGTTACCAGCTTAGCTTGTAGTGAAATCGAAGGCATGCATTTCATCCCATTTGAAAGTGGTTAGGTGTATGCGCTGGCATCCCAATGAGTGGTGATGTTTCCAGTGAACCGCCAACATACTGAATGTCATAACGATGTCAAGCAGATTGTCGAGTCATGATTGCCACCATTTAGGCAATGAGCATATTATTTATTTATTTACTGGTGTGTCTGCCGAAGGAGCCCATGTGCCAACAGAGGTCGATTCACTATAGTAATCAATGAGGAATCACAAGCATCAATTAAAGTTACCAGTTTTACGCAAACACAATTGGCTATCGTCATTATGTTTTGTACAAAACATTAAAAAACTGACTTTCTATGGATAGATTCCGTTTCGTTTAGGGTATGAGTACCCTGTTTATACACATTCACTCTGCACTAGATGCTTGAATGTTGTCACATACTTCAGACCGCCAACAGTTCTATTTCTCAAACTCCGTTCGATAAAATTTGTGTTTAATCTTTTGTTAGAGACATCCTTCAGAAGTTCTTTAGCATCTTAGTTGCCCTATATAACGAAATCTCAAGTGGCTTTAGAGCCCCAGTAGTTCCGTGGTAACGTCACTAATGACAACACTGGATAACGCGGATTCAAAGCTCAAGGTAAACATGACTTGTAGACACACTTTACTGGTGAGTGTTAAGAAGCGTGAAACTTAGGTGCAGGTTTTTCTGCTGATAGCTTCCAACCAACTGACAGAGTTAGGGTATGCAAATACTTCTATTATTTCAAAACACCAATTGTATTTTCACATGTGCATACTTCTCATTTGTTGACCTTCATGAATAGGATTTGGTGGTATGAAGGTTAGCTGATCAAGAAAAACAGTATACAGCCTTCAGTAAAAGTAATGCTAACTCACAAGAGACAGATGTTACAGGTTGCTTTTCCCAATTCTTTTAAGTGGACTTAAAACAGTCAATAACTGAACGTACTACGTTTCTGATGTCCAAACTATTATCTCTTACGGTGCAAAGTATTGGTACTTGCAAAGTCACAAGAGCTGGTTTTCATTTACTGAAAGTTTTTTTTTAAAAACCGAGAATGTTAGTGACAATCCTAAATTAACATCCACTCCTTGTTTGGTATGACAGAAAAATTGGAGGTATGAATGGATCCTGTGGTGAACTTTTATCAACCATAGATATCGTAGTAGAAAAATGTGTAACGCGAAGACGTAATCCTGCAGCCTCATGCAGTTACATGCACCAGACAGTGAGTCACACCTGTTATATGAGAGTGAATGATGCTTACCACCCAGCTGTCGAAACTTCCTTAGATGCTTCGAGGCCTAAACCTGCAACTCACAGGTCAGAAATTGATGGCTTAGACAAGTGAGCCACAGCTCCATAAGGCAGTGGGAAGACATTGTCATATTTATTAAGACTAAAGAATGCCTTGGTGTATTTACTGATTGGTCCACATACTCGGCCATATAACTGTACTTATCGAAATCTTAGGAACCAGGTCATCTTTGCTTAATAGAGTTCTTCTTGCCAATTTGTACATGAAACTGCACACAATTACTTAACCTCTTTTACGTAACATAGATCAATCTAAAAAATTGGATAAAAATTCTCGCGAAGGAAAAATATTTGTTTACTTCTCTATGATCTGTCATATAGTGAGATTTTATTTCTACCTAAGTAGTAGTGTATTTGTCAACGGCAAGTGTGAATAAATCAACGTTAATTACTTTTCACTTTCACGTGGAATCTCGAATTAGAATACTCCAAAAGCAAAATCCAGTTTAAGGGTGAAAAACTAAAAAATTATTCGAAACCAACAGGTTATCAGATGTTCTTATTAAAATTTTAACATACTTCTTGTCGTCTACTTTGAGTACATAATGTTGTTTAAAGTGAACGAAAAATGTTATCAAGTCTACAGGATACAATAACAGTGACGTCAATAGTTTGATAGTTAGTTCTGTGACTTCAGCACTAACTATAATACATACAAATTTCCGTTGAAGGATGAGTTTCCTCAAGTTTACAGATGAACCTTACTGATAAGTTCCAGAAGACACGAAACAATCCTCAAATTGACTATCCTGGTGATGAAATATCTCATACGTACCACAGTACTCTATAGTATCGCTCACCTGCAAACTCGGTCAATATGCTTCGGTCAGTACTTAAGTAAGACTGGATAACTAAATGGATTGCCATGCAGTGACCAGTCGGTGTAAATTTTATTTATTTGAACAATTATCAGAAATGCTAGATGACTGAAGACAACAGAAAATTTGGTTCGATAAACTGAATGTTTTCATAATAATTTCTTTATTCATATAAACTTCCTTCAGATTACAAATAGACCTTAATGGTAGGTGCGAATGGTCTTGGAAATAAAATGAAGAGCTTCCTGTAGAGATTCCCATTCATCTTTTAACACCCACATTAAAGTGAACAAGAATATTTTTCTCATTTTAGGTTGTTGAAGAATATCTTGCAGGAAATTGGTTGCCAGACAAAAACAGTTGTGATCCTGATGAATTATACGTAAGTCTAACGTACATGTTATAACATAAAGCATAAGAATATCTGTTTTATGAATGCTGAATTTAATAAAATATTTTGATGATTTTCTTTGTTGTAGAAAAAATGTCTTCATCTCTCATGTGTACTACATCTGTGTCAAGAAACATCTCTCTCTGTCAGCAAGTGAGTCAAGATCAATATTTGAGACCATTTTTAGAAGTATCATCTATACAGTGTCAGCTAATAATACCATTTTAGTTTGTTTACGAGACGTGTCACACAGTGAAATAACCTTGCCCATTGGATAATGTTTCAGACACAGTTTACTGTCCATAGTCATAATCAACGTAGTTCCTAAACTTTAATACGTGGTTTATGTAGTTCTAATTCTTCTTTCCTCCCTATTTATTATATAGGTAGCAGAATTTTCCATATATCTGTAACAGGCGCTGTCATTCCCGTCGCAAGTATTTGAACCTAGCTAGTTTCTCAAGCTGTTACTGTCTTATTTTATTATGTGATTGTCTTTGACTGGGTGCATAATTATAGTTGAGCCTTTTACTAGATGCTTTATCTTACTAAGGTCTACCGATTTTGATCTAGTTAGACTTTTGTATTCCCCAAACTTAATTAACCCTAATCGACTATTTTTATCTCTTTGTTTGACCTCGAAGTTATTGCAAGGGGATCGGACAAACTAAATTACTTCCTTGAATCAGCTAAGTAGGACTTTTTAATCTTCAAAGCTTGTTTCTATGTTAGTTTGTAGGTTTGGATGCCGCTCCAGTCCCAACTGCATTGAGAATCCTAGGTAGTGTATATGAGGTGACTTCTTTCTATGAAAACTCCATAGGGGTGCTGAATTTTGCCTTCACAGTACTGTTATTATTATTAGTAGTAGTACTTTTGTTATTACTATAATCAGAAGCAAGGAGATCATGTGAGGAAGAAATGAAAGCTTGTGGGCAGTCGTGGCGCCAGGTTCAAAAGACTGCAGAGAACAGAGTCCAATGGAGGCGTGCTACTGAAGCCCTATGTTCCACTAGGAACCCAAGGGAAAATAATATAATGATAAGAAGCAGCAGTATCTGCGTCACCACTACCAGCTATATTTTAGTAAATTCTCTTATGAAGTCATTTCTAAAGTGATGTGTATAGTTATTGACCATTATTCTGATGCAACTGTGAACAATTAACTGTTAGCATAAAGTTTCCCTGTAAATAATATTGTTTCACTGTATAATGCGTCTAATAATCAAGCTAAAAATAAAACCACACTCTGCCATAATTCCAAAGTTTTGCTCGTGAATTAGGCAATGTTACTATGAATAATAACAATAGTAATAATAATAATAGTGACTTGCTATATTTACAAGTCAAAACTCAGAGTTAAAGAGAAACATTAAAATTAACTGAAGTTAATGGTGGTGCTGTTGAGTTAAACGGTGGAATCTAATATCTAAAAATATAAGACAGAATCAACATGGAATTCCCGTACTTTGACTACAGTAGGGGATAAGATGACTGAAATCGAATTAAAAATAAAATTTTATTTTCGTTCTGCCAAAACTCTTCTATTGAAACGAAATTGATCTGACATTTTAGCGAGATAGGTTTTTCTGAGGCTTAATCTCCACTTCGCGGTTTTTAATTCAAAGTTATCTTTATTGATGAAGTGGATGAAACTTTGTGAAACGCTGAATATCTACTCCACCCTATTTTTGGACTATATCCTGTAATTTAAGGTTTCTTATCTCAGATTTTATGCTGTGTTAGGTTTTCACTAACCTATCAACTGACGTCTTGTTTTACATACTGTACTGGAATCGTAGTAGACTACGTCTGTTTCAGAAGTGATTAGCGTAGATATTCAAGTACATACTGACTTCTTAAGGAGAAACTGGTTCCACTTCAGCTTTGTAGGAATGTCAAACAGTGAAGAGAAAGGAATGTATAAATCCTTTCTAATTAATTTGCCTTCTGTACTGTTTACTACTTCACTATGTATTTTTATGAATATTTTCCATTTCAGTACAATTGCTGCTTCACTTAAACCAAAGAATTTACAGGCTTCAATCGGAAATTGGTCATCAGATTTAAATGCATTACTCAGAATTTCACCATCAAAAAGTATTGAAGACAATCAGAAAATCTTTTTAAGTAAGTTAGCATTATCAGTTTTAGTCTTTTAGTAGTAGATATAAAGCATACAACTGTTCTACACTGTTTAGTAAATAATGAGCAACCAATTTCATCTTGTCTAATCCTGATCATTTCTCAATCTGGCCACCAAGCTAGAACACTTACCATCGTGGTGGCCACCCAGCAAAATGATCGACAGAATTCAGTCAACACTCAGGACTAGATAATATGAAAGTGGTAGCTATCTAGTCACTGATCAATGTATCTAATCCAGTCCCACAGGAGGTCCGTTTCGGCCCGAACAGCTCAGTGGTAACATCACTTGTTGCAACATTGTGTGACGTGGTTTTGAGTCTTGGAGGGGACATTACTTCTTCAGGTTGCAGATATGCATTGCTGACGAGTATTAATAAGCACAAAAATTAGGTCTAGGGTTTCATCCCGATTACCTCCAACCACCTAGTATACAACCGTTATTTCGAATGCAGGCGTCAGTTAATATCATTACTTAGAAAAATAGTTTAACAGGATACTATTTAGTATCACTTAAAATATATTGTTTGTTGTTCTCTAACTGAAAAAAAATGCAATAATGACTACAAGCATTGTAGCAGTTTTCCAGTATATCATAAATATCATAAATTATATTGATACCCTTTGGAATTTAGTCACTTTTCAGCATCCACGTATGCTGTTACCAATCTTTCAGTTGTAAATTGATATCATCCATCTCACATAAACGTATAATTAAACTGTGGAAGTATAAGAGCGAATGGAAAGCCATTAGTCTGAAACATAAACCAAATACTTTGTTAGTGGTTTGTTTTAATTATCGACAATAAGCTCTGTCGAAATTAATAAAGCAGTTGATTTTTTATTTATATCACTCTGCTTCCGATGTTTAAAATAAATGTAATGCAAGAATTGAAATGACTTCACAGCATGCCAGTTGGGAATTTTTTCAAGTAAAACAATGAAACTGTCAAATGCTGACTACCAATCACATGTACAATAAAAAATTCCAGTCTTTATCCAAAAATTATCAAAACATGTTGGAGTTTATTTGGTGGCTAAAAATGGAATCCAGGACACGCGTTTCATCCTACTTGGGACTCGTCAGCTGGATGTGCTTCCACCCCAGTGACTGGTGGTGTTCCCATTGACACTCGATCTCAGTCCCCATCATTTTCACAAGGCCAAGTAAGACACAAGAGCCACGTCTTTCACAACGAGTATCAGCTGTTATTACTTACTGATACTTGTAATTTCCTGTTGTTGCACTGAAGTGAACTACTCGACCTCCGTCAACAGAGATGAAAAGGTGATGAGTTCCAAGTAAGACGAAAGCCGTGTCCTGGATTCCACCATTAACCATCAAGTAAACCATGACATAATAAATATTCAGGCAGTATCGAGGCCTCCACATAGGAGCCAATCTGACAACACTTTTTTTTTGTTGACCAGTAAACAGATGGTTTTATGTACCATATCTTAAGATTGGCTGATACTTTTTAAATGTTTGTCATTCATAATTTGAAGGTCTCAACTAACACATGTGTGTAGGCAGTTGGTCACAGTATATCATCCATGGTACAGAGTGACTTAAAAGACCCCCCAAGCAACTGATGTAACAACCCATGATGTTTCTGTATTCTAAAAAAAATCGTCTTCCAAGACAAAATACCTTAATCTGACTGGCTATTTTGTCAATTGTTAGGGTGGTCTTTAAAGTCGCCTATGTATCATGAGTAACTCTATAGGCCACCTTAGCAACTGCCGAAATAACCAATCAGACTTCACTACTTTGCCTGGGAAAGTACTTTCCTATAAAATAAAGAAATGTAGTTGCCTATCTCATCAGTTGTTAGGGCGGCCTTTAGGGTCGACCCTATTTTGGATAAACAGACTTGGCCGACAGGTGACATTAGGAAAGACGTAAGTCATTTTAATTATCACTTTGAGAACATAGGAAGGACTGTACTAGGTACATTTATGAACTACTCCATTCTGCCTGTTTAGTCTGTCCCTAATTTTCTGAAAAAATCATTACATCTTAACAACTGACGACTAAACAGTATTACAACTGTGATCAAAAGGTTTCAGAGTTTTCTAATTCCCTCCCTATAAATATGACTATGATGGAGCGACTCTAAAGGTAACTCTAGCAACTACTGAAATAACGAACCTCGTTTGTTTGTTTACCAAGAAAAAATCAACCTTTCCAGCCAAAATAGCGACACCCAATTCCTTATCCCAGTGGTTGCTAGATGGAATCTTTGGATTCAGTCAAAGTGAACCATAGGAATTTGATTGAAAGATTATACAGTGAATGCTATTGTCTCATGGTAAGCTAAAATATGTGACTGAAACTACTTTTAGCAAAGTTAACAAGTAGTTTATATACTGCAGAATCGAGAAGTGATACCAGTCGACTGGTGAAGACTAGAGTTGGAGAAGTAGGAGTAGAAGGCGTGAGAACACCACCTAGTGGGGTACAGAATATGGATACTATTAGCACATATAGCTTCATTGTAAGGGTGAGTATTTTCGTCATTGGCGATTGCCATTCCTTCATAAACAACCTTTGTAGTCCCATCAGACTTCTCTTCACAGCGTTATGGTTATACTCTGCATTCCATTATTTTCTGTGTAACATTCTTTACATTTCACTGAATGATGTGAAGATTATGAAGCTTTCATATCTGCATGCTTTCCCTACACTATTAAATAGTTCCTTCGAATACAGTTATAAATATTATGTTTGAGTCTTCAATATTGGGCATCAACCACTGATCAGCGATCAATCCGAGTTAAAAAATCCTTCTATGAGTTGGGTTTATTGACCCCTATAATTGACTTATAGCGTTTACCCAAGTGTAGGGAGATGGAGACTATATGGCTTGGGTTCCTGAGACAACTGGAATCAGAAGTTGATGATTCTTGGTGAAATGACCTGAAATCAATCGCAGTGGCGTAGACGTATTTATACTCTGATGTTTTCTAAAGCCTAAGTGGTTTGAATAACTTTAATTTTTAAATTTCCTCTCCTCTTGTACACCTTCGTCAACTTTAATGTCAGTCTTTCCTTTACACTTATGCCATTATATGCTTGTATAAAGTGTGGTAAGTTGAACGGTACACTGATGTGCTAGTCTGTATGTTGATTTTGTCTGTTTAGTCAAGTATACTCGAATTGTGGAGCTTTTTCGTCGATAATATGATTCTTCTTCTCTACAGATATATCTTGTTGATAAATATCACAAGGCAAAAAGTCTAGTTGAAGCAGTTGTTGAAGATTACCTTCGTCAGTATCCGGGTTTCTTTAATAGTATTTGAAATTTCTCCAGACAAACTATAATCGTTCCTGTTTTCCTTGAAAAAGAAAATAATCAAGACTGTAATTTATTTTTTGTACTTCAGCATCAATCAGGAGTTGGCCATTTTTTGGATCATCTTGTTTCCTTGCTTTTGTTGAAAGTGGTCTACGTGGAATTCCTACTGATCATCAAATTATTATTGCTTTAACTCAGTCAGGTATTCATATTCTAGGTACTTCAGCTCGTGAATCATATTTGAATGTTTCTTATGAAGATGTTGCAAGTACAAGGGTAAGTAGGAGATTTCTTTTCTTTTTTAAAGGCTATAAACATGATCTTAACTGATAAAAATATCAACGACTAATTCATTACACTGTTTAAAAACCTTTGAGTATCATACTAGGAAGAAACAAAACACTGGTTGCTCAAAAAGAAGATATATTTATGTGGTGGTACTAACTATTAGAGATACGTAGACTAACTAGCTAGTAGCATTATGAACCAGTAATGCATTTTAACGCGATAAGCATCAGAATGTAGTGGGCGCTTGGTTGTGTAACTTCAGTTAAGTAAGTCCTTTAACACTAGGCATAATAGTACCAATGTTCTTAAACTACAGGCTATGGGTTTTTGGACATTTCTTTACTGCTATATTCATACTTTATATATCGAAAATTAGGTTTTTGGATGGTTTTGAGTTAGTGGAGGTAATTCCTACTAATTAACTTATATTGAAGTGTAGAAATTTGTTTTCATTTTGACTCAGGAAGCTGAAGCTAAACTAAAAAATGATAATTTATTTTTTAACTGTCCTAATAAACAATCAAATATCAAGACACCGTTTAAATTCTCCTGAATTTTGACTTAAAAAATATGAAATCATACTGCACCAATGAATTACTTTTGGATGCTATGCCTTAAAAACAATGGGAGGAAAAAGGATTGCAATGAAATGAATGGAAAATATGCAAATACAAACTAGTAAGATGTGTAACAGCCTACGCAAGATATGAAGTAAGATTAAGTCTCAGTACATCTAAACCATTGATTGGTCTACCATAGTAGCAGTTAAGGTGGGTCAAGTAGTAGGACAGGTGATAATCTCTGAAATAAATACAATTTGGCCAAAAGGCACTTTTTAAACACCTGTTCATTAGTTTATGTATATGTTTACTTTGTTTTTTTCACTCTATGCTATATAAATAAGCAATGATAGACAGTTGTTACACTTTATATTTAGGTCACTGTGTCTTAAAATATTATTACCATTCATCTCAAACTGTAACCTAAAATTAGAATGAATTTATAGATGAGCTTTAAAACACACAATAGTATTTAAGCGAATGCACTAAATAAAACTGATGTCTCCATTTCCATGTTTCTTTTCTAGTGTGATTTCTGAAGTTGTGACGAGCAATGCACAGTAGGATTTTGTTAACATAGAAGTGGAATACTTGTGCAGTTCATAACTTGTGTTGTTTAGTAAGGTTTGACTGTCAGCCACTGGTACATCCATTGTCCTCCCGAGAAACAACGTGCATGTGTGGTCCCAATACATTTGATTACTTTTGAGAGCGACAGCGGAATTACAGATATGGATTTGGATCATTTTCACCACAATCTACTGCATTGCATATTCGTGATTTCGTCTAATTAGGTGAAGTATTTAAGCTACTTACATGTTGTAAGTAGCTTGAGAAATAAACAGGATTAAATTAGTCTGCTAGTGGTTATTCATGAACGATTTTAAGCCTCAGTATCGCATTGGATGTTCAGTTTACAGTATTTTTTCGAGATATAAATTGAAGCTCACTTAATGTATGAAACTACTTGTGCAAAATATAGGTTGATTGAATTTATGCAGTTTTTCTTTCCGGGAAATTCCAAAAGACTACAATATGAATGAGAGTAGCGAATTGTTGCCTGACTTTACCGATATGACTTCACAACCAACCACTGTTTCACAGTATGGACATAATATTAGTTCTCCCACCTGTTGACATATATTGGTGTTCAGATACCAAATATAACGGTGTTTGTATTTTTTAGGTTCGTCTATTTTCTTATCTAGCACTGGGTTTCATACAGTTAACAATTTCATTGAGTCACCTGTGTTTCATTTGTTAGGGATGACATGTATGAATATAGATTCATTGGTCCATTTTTCCTTCAATTTTTTCCATATTGAAAATTAGAATATAATCATTGTCCCAATGAACACTACGTTTTTCATCCGAACGACTGGTATAATCATCGGCAGTAATGCTGCTCGAAATATCAACAAATTTAGAGACTTATTTATGGCTAACTATGTTTATCATTTACAAGTGTCAGTAAGCATGAGTAAACCTTCAGTTTTTAAAGAAATACCAAACAAGTAAAGCATAGATTCCAATTACTGTACCTGTTCATTAACGAAATGAATTTCAGTTAATTATGCATGTCATAAAATTAAAGATATCCCGTAGGTTAAATGACTTTCTTTCCGTCAACTGATGATAATTATCGTGATCAAATAACTAGGATTGAGCAGATGAACGCTGTTTGATACGTACTACCTAGTGAAATGAGTAGTTGTAGATCAGTAGTGCTTGCTAACCAGATTAAAATGATCTAAACACTGGACGGTTATTTTTCTCATTTGAGACCCAGCTCACTGACCATTTATCTGCATGAATTCAATCCAAAGATCTGAATGGCTTAAGCTACTCAGATATTAGTTAACTGCTTGACTGAAATGATACTGAAAGTGACAATTGCTGAAATGATATCTCTATTGAAACCCCATAATAGGTAAATAGACAATTTAAAACAACATCGAGCATGTGTCATGTTTTCCATTCCTTATTATAGCCAAATATATTAGACCGCTGATCTTCAGGCTTATTTTCATCATTTTAATTTAATTTCTTTTACTTTTAGATTTAAAATAAGTATTTTATAGTTGGTAATTGAAGACTGGATAACTGTAATGGAGTAGACCACTTACACTTGGTTTATTCCTCAAAGAAAGATTATATGTAAATTTTAAAGTTAGCACCATAAATTTTGTAAATAAAAATCCCTCCGATAATATAAACTCACTTGAAATTATTGCAAATATAAAATCACAGCGTGAATATCCGATATTCATGCCTAAGAAGTTGGAAATTATAATCAGTGTTAAATAATGAAGATTACACACTCAGCCAGATACTTATGCTTTGAATAGCTTGACAGATGTAGAAATATTTTTTCCATGAATTAAAAGTAACTAACTTCTGAAGAAGAAAAAAGAAAACTTGGGAAAGTAGCTTGTTTTATTTAATGAAATTTTCGTATAGACTGTCATGTTCAGATTTTGTAATATTTTTCTCTAATAGGTCACTTACAAAGATGATAATGAGTATAGTTGCCCCGGTGCTGTACGTCTAACAACTAGTAGTGGTCAACAAATAATTTTTCATTTAGAACAGGTAAGTGAAATGACACTGGTTTTATCATTATTATTTTTACAATTATTATTACTAGTAATAGTAATATCGTTTTTATTATCCGTTTGTTGACTACCACCATGAGCAGTGTAACGATACTATGAGTTGTTATCGTTTAGTTCGAAATTTATCTCCGGTATAGGTGTATTAATAAAACTGAAATGCTGTTCACTTATCAAGTTACACACATATTACTACACTCCTGTAGAAGGTCAATCGTAATCCAAATAATTCAGTATCAACAACTCTAGCATCTATAGTGACACGGGTTTGAAACTGTAAAGGGGGAATCGGTTCTTTTGAGGCTGCAGGCACGCTAACAAGAGTCTTCTATCTTAGTTACCGCACTGTAAAGTGGTAGATAGAGTTTGATCAGCATTTAGTACTGAACAGTATAAAAATGATTACTCTCTAAAGATCCATCAGTGTTTATCACTAGACTAGTAGCGTTTATGGTAAAAGAAAAATCATTGGTTAAATACAAAGGTTGGTTTTTATAAGATTCCTTGATTAGATGGATTCACATAAATCTTATTTTAATGAAAATACAGAACTTGGGTGGTGTAGGGTGTAATTCCATACTACACCAGTCTATTCGATATAAACACATTGGCATAGTATCACTTACTGAATCAAAATTTATTCATATCTCACCATGAGCAGTAAGTTTTGTACAAAACGTAAGTAATACTTTATCACTGTGTGCTATATCAAATAGAAGAATCTAATATGAAACCTTATTTTAGGGAAAAGTGGATCAGAAAAGAAAAAAGGCGGTAACATAGACAAAGATAAATAATTTAATGTAGAACCTAGTACGAAAATGCCATCAGTTTCAGTTGCTACATTTCACATTAGCACAAAAACAACAGTTGGATCAGAAAGGAATGGAACTGAAGCAAGCAAAATTTACATATAGGAAAAACACAAATGAAAGTTAAAAAAAATGTTCAAACTTTTGAAGATAACATAGAGTGTATCCATCGGCACTATTATGATCGAATTTCAGCAGTGTCATTGAGGGTTTTCAATCAATAATTCCCGCTATCTTGAGGACCCTAACGAATAAGTCTACAACTCCCTACATGGCTCAAAATGTCAGTCAGGGCTAGTACCACGTCTTAGTCTGACCATCCTGAACTTTCTTGTGACCAAATCCTACTTTCGAAAGCATTGCACGTTGGGTTGGATGGTGATTTGGCTTGCGTAGCACATGTCCAAGCTACTTCAGTCAGTAGAAGTTCTCTGCCACACCGACAGACTTTTATTCCTCGCCACGATGACATCTGTAGCTAAAATCCCACAACTCTATCATGCCTTCGACCCTCAATCTCCATGTGTGAAATATAAAACAGACTAATTCATAGCATAGTTGTCCTTTGATGGGTAACAAAGCGCCTAGTCGGTGTTATAAGTGGCGTACTTTCCAAAACGCCAAAGATCCCTACTGAGTTCAAGCTGAGATTTCTCCAGAAAGTAACGCATTGGGATGGATGAGACTTCCTGCTTAAGTGAAGCAGTCAATCCGTTTCACCTTTACATCCATCATCTCTAAAATGGGACTCGATGTAGAGCCACCTCAAAGCAATCTGTAATGTTTAACATGTTCAAAACCCCAAACATGTTTGAATTTTTGCTCAAGTATTTCAGACTTTGCTAAGTTTCGTCAGCGTATTCACCCAACAGAACAATGTCGCTTGCTTACTCTGAGTCACCTGAGTTCCCACCACATAATAAGTTAATCTGAGAAGTCAGCAGTACTTAGGATTACATTTCTCAGCATATTTATGACAATTTTTAATAAAAATAGTGACTGTGGACATCCTTGGTGGACACCGATAGTTGTCCTTACTCTCCATAAGCCCTTAAATGACTGTATGAGTATAAGTAGAGAGCCTTGATTACCAATACATGCTTGCTCCATACTCCTTTCACAGCTACGCGCTAACATAAAATCTCCTGATTGACAGAGTGTAATGCTGCCTTCAGATCAAGAAATATGGCTAATTTTAGCAGTTTGTGAGTATGACTGTGTTCCGAAGCCTGTTGAAGGGTGAAACTCTGGTTGATGCACCTTCGTCTACGTTTGAAAATTGTCTGGTTTTCATGGGTTTGTCCTTCTTGGGCTCCAGTTAAGTTTTGGATAGCTATGGAGCCTGGGGATCTTTTACATTATGCTAGCCGAAGTAATTCCCCTTCGATCACTGCAAGGAAATTTCCCTCTTTTCTTATAATCGGGTATCTTCAATTACGCAAACCAATCAGATGAATTCTTAATAAAAACGTTCCCTATGCCTCTCTTTTACCGAACCTGTAAGTTATCTAGTCAAAAATTCCCGAGAGTTATTGACATTACTGCTAGTTGTGATTTCAAATGTGATATGGTATCGCATGCAACTCTTATTAAAATTTAGGTCACCAAGAAACAAAATTTTATTTTGGCTGAGAAAAATGTCTACACCCAAAGAAACAAATTTTGACTTCTCTTTCAATGTAAAACAATCAGAAGATTTACATATTTTTCATTAGAAAAAGAGAAAAGTTGACCAGTCATTCTAGTGTCAGCCTGAAAGATGCTTTTTCGAATACTTGAGTTTCCCTACTTGGTTATTGATTTCACCCGTTAGTACGAATATATCTGAACGTTTTGCTTCACTTAGCAAGACTGATAGCTTTTGGAAATACTCATCCATTGCATTGTCTGAGTTGTAACTATTGTTCATGTAGACGGAAACCACAAACTGGTGTCGACACGCTTGCCACCATTTTTAACACTTAAAAAACCATTCTGCTGGACAGTACACAGATGGCTAGTGAATGATATCCAGTTGGACAATATTTTTTCTATTCCAGAAACTAATACTATATCTAGACAGCTAGTCTTTAAGGAGTAGCTACTGAATCTTCAGGTATTTGAAAACTGAATTTTACAGATCCACTATATTCACCATATGAGATCAAGTGAATAACTATACTTGGATCCCACATGAGCATATCAGAAAGGTAACATGAAGCCATAGCTCAAATTTCATAGCTTTGACAGGTGAAGCCTGTCTGACTTGGCATATAATAGGGACGTTGAAAGCTCCCATGTGAAACTGGCAGCTTGATTTCAGGAGACTATAAATAGTGTTTTATTGGTTGAGACTGAAAATGCAAAGCTAATCAATGTACTCTGGTTTTGATATCAGTTAACGATGAATAAATGATATAATAATAATAATAATAATAATAATAATAATAATAATAATAATAATAATAGTACAAATGATCATACAGCTTCTGAAAGTAATTTTCTGTTGTTTGATGTTAAAAACTGCAACCTATAGAGAAATTTATTTAAATATTGAATGATAGAAATGACAGAAATGATGGCTTTAGTTGTAATAGTACTGCTAGTTGAAGGTGTACAAGTTGAGTAATTACAAAAAGAGGTTGGTTACATTGAACTTTTAGATTATTTATAAGATGTGTATAACTTAAAAAGGATTGCAAGTATTGTTAAAGCTAATAAATAAACAAAGTATTAGGTAATATGAATACAACAAGTTAATTGAGATCAAATGAATATGCGTTTTTTTTTTTCAAAGTTGCATTTTTTCCCAAAGATTAAATGAGAAATAACACTGAGAACTATTAAATGTAAAAATTATAATACTATGTGATGATTAAAGGTGAAACGAAAATTTGAACCGCCTCCAACTACACGATTTTTGGCCTGGTGGTGATAAAAGAGTTCAATGATGAATAAAACAAAACAATAAAAATGAAGTCAACACCAACGTAGTAAATATAAAGACTGTACGTACTTTTTTTGTATACAATGGTTAGGCTTCAGTTCATGAATAGCATAGACTTGACTTTGTGACAAAGAAAGAAGAATACTCGGTTAGTTTAAATCATTCAACTGATCCAAACAATAACTTGAAGGTTGTATATCGAATTCGCTGAAATACTCTACAGTTTCTTTATTTTAAACTTCTTAAAAGAGTAGACATGTTCACAAGTCGTAAACTGAAGCCTGACTTTTGTGTACAACAGAAGTATGTACATTCTTTGTCTTTAGCTTGACCTTAACGTCATTTTGTTGTAACTTTGAATTTCTAAACGTTCCTCTTTTAAGAATAATCTTTGCACTCTTTTATTCTTCACTGTCATTATTATTTTTTACATTTAATAGTTTCCGGTGTTATGATTATATTCTTATTTTTCCTTTGGGTTCCTAATAAAACATAGGGCTTCAGTAGCACGTCTCCATTACACTCTCTTCTCTGCTGTCTTTTGAACCTGGCACCACAACTGCCCACAAGCTTTCATTTCTTCCTCACATCATCTCCTCCATGTCACTCTCGCCTCGATGCCCAACTCATCGCTTCCCATCTGGGTTCCACTCGAGGGTCTGGCCTGGTGCGTGATGTCCCCAATCGGCCTTCTCAGAGTATGCCCAATCCATCTCCGCTTTCTTCTTCTGCACATTTGTTGAGTGATAGGTTCTTGGTTGGTTCGTCGCCAGACCAGAGTTCCTTGTTGCTTATTATTATTCTGACCATCTGATCTTCAGTATCGATTGGGCGTAGGCGGCAGCTGTTGATGAATGTCTGTAGTTTGTCGTCAATGCTTTTCGTGACGCTCCAAGTTTCTGAACCATATAGAAGCCCTGACTTGACATCGGTGTTTAGAATCCTGATCTGGTTCTTTGTGCCGAGTGCAGTAAATCTCCACAGTGATTTCAAATTAATGAAAGCCTGTCTTGTTTCTACACAAACTGGATCATATGAGGAAATTAAGAAGCCTGTCCTGCTGTTCCGATCCTGGTTTTGACATCCTCGTCTGTGCCACCTGTAGTTGAAACGATGCTGTCTAGGTAGGTAGGTGAAAGGGACAACTTCCTTGAGGTTTCTCTCGTTAATGGTGATTAGTGCTTGTTGTTGATGTTGTTGTTGGTTGAATGTCTTCCTCACCTCCGTTTTCCATACATTCACTTGAAGTCCTGTTTTCGCTTCCTCTTCTGTCAACTTGTTAGTTTTCGCCTGTAGATCTTCGAGTTTGTGCCACAAGACATGAGACATAAATCATCATCATCGGCGAAATCCAAATCTTCTAGGCTCTTTTCCTCGGTCCAGCGTATACCCATCTTCTCGCTCCTTACTGTTTCTGCATGATCCAGTCCACCACAATCAGGAAGATCATCGGTGATAGTAGGTCGCAACCTCGTCTTACTCCTGTCTTCGCTTCACTTCAAGGCATCACTCAGCTTTCCACCGTGGACCACTTGGCACGTGGCGTCGTCATATTGCTGCTGAATGAGATTGATAGAAATTTGTGGCACTCCGTAGTGTTGAAGCAACTGCCTGCCAAATTACTTCTCGGTCGACTCTACTGAAGGCATTTTCAAAGTCGATGAAGTTGAGGTGAAGATCCAGTTGACTGCTATTCTGCAGTCTCTTCTATGATGATGAGTAGTGTTGCAATTTGATTAGCACATTACTTGTTCTTCCTGAAGCCAGCCTGTTCTGGTTGTAATTTTGAATCCAGCGCATCAGCTACCCGTGTTACTTTATTTAATCTTTGAAAAAGTGGCAACTTTTAACAAAAAAATCCACATTAATTTGATCTCAATTGACTTGTTGTATTCATATGTGATAGTCGTTTTTTCTTTTATTAGATCCACTATGTTTTCATTCCTTTGTAAGCTAGGAACAACTTAAAAGTCTTGTGTAACTAAACCTTCTTGTTATCACTCAGCTTGCCCATCTTCAACTAGCAACACATTATTACCATTATTACCATCATTTCTCTCATTTTTTATTATGTAGTATTTAAATTTCTCCCATGGGTTGCTTCTTTACAAATAACATCGATATACGAATGTACAGCTTGAGAACAATTGCGTTGAAAAGAGTTCCCATTTGATGGATTTCTTATTCTTCTTTCTTCTAATATCACAATGGGATTTATAAAGTTATTTCTGTTGTTTGTTTGTTTGTTTTTGTTTACGTTTTAGGCCAGAATGTTCGTCTTCATTTTAAGTCGATATCAGTACATTCTGTCAGCGAATCTGTTAGCTTCTGCTTGATAGGAAGTAAAATCTTCAGAATGCCCAAGCTATCCAGAAAAGATAATCATCCTTTTTGATAAAAATATATAATTAGAAAAAATAAGAAATGCATATGCATACCTATTTATGCAATCCTTAGACTGATATGAATCAAACATTCAAAAGAGATAACGGTAAATATTCTCACAAAACCTATAATTCTGTAATCTATCCTTGAAAATTATCCGTGACATTGTAAGAAAAATATTTGTTGATTTAATAATTTATCCATTAATAAGGATTTATAATTTTTCGAATATAATATCTAACCGACTCTATGCAAATATAACTTTACACTTTTTTAGTGTAAAAGAAACAACAAACCATCAACTCGACCAACAAACTAATCAGTTTGTTGTTCATACAGCTTAGATTTAATTCGAATAATTTTTTTCAAATAACTAAAGATTCCCATTTCATATATTAAAATTCAAATAAGAATAAAGACTATTCTTTTCAATAACTTTGTATTCGGTTCTGTAGTTATATTCATGTTCAACAGCAGAATGTACCAACGAATAGACGGTGTAGAGATGGGATCCCCATTAGACCTTATAAATTCTGATATGTTTTTATCATTTTGACTATCTGAGATAGCGGTGGTTTGACAGACTAGTATTTATATTGGGTGATGATTGAAGGTGGAATGAAAATTTAGACTGCGCTGGAATTTGGACCAGCTATCACCGAGTTTCCAGCCCGGTGCTCTACCGGTGGTCACTGGTTCGAGTCCCGCTGTGGTCTAAATTTCCATTTCACCTTCAATCATAACCCAATATCGACTTATTTTTAGCTAAATTAGATAACGGGCCAGTGAAGAATGGCATTACCAATGTAAATTTGTATTGCCGGTATATGGATGATACATTTTCAGTCTTCAGTAAATACCCATCTTTTGATTCGATAGTCAACCACTTCAGTAGCCTCCATCCAGAAGTTCATTTTACGTACGAATGCGAAAGTAGCGATTCTCTTTATTTCCTCAATGTTCTACGGACAAGAAGTGAAGATAGTCCCTTTGAACGAAGTGTATACCTGAAGACGAACAAACCGTAGTATACACACTTCATCAACATTGTGCCAATAAAGTAAAAACGAAATGTTATCAGATGTTTAGCATTTACGGTAAGATCATTCTGCTCCGAAGAGTGTATCGAGAAAGAATTACAAGTGTTTCCGAATATTTTAGAGGAAAACGGACATCCTGAAAGCCTATAAAAGCAAATATCGTTCATGACACCCCTAAACATGAATCGACAAAAAAGCAGAAGAAACTATTGTTTCTGTGTCTGCATTTCAAGGGAGATACTTCGAGTGAAATTTTGTCACAACGCTTATCCACAGTAGTATGTATAATGTTTCACTCAGGAAGTCTGTGCTTATCCTCTAATAGGCAACTGTTTTTCAACCCGAGACCTAAGGACCCCTTACCTAATTTGAGATCATCATCATGTATGTACCAATTATTATTAGACACGTCTGTTTCAGAGTACAAGAACATCTACTGGCATGGTCTGCAAAGAGTGAGATTAAATTCATTCGAAGTTCTATACTAGCACATCGAATTGACACAGGGCACCAAATAGATGCTAGAACAGCTTTACTGTGATAAATCACATTCTGAAGACTGCCATCTGCCATTCTGTTATGAGGAGCTGTAGCTATAAGATCAACTAAGCCTGAACTTTGTATTCAGAAAGAACACGTTTAAGCTTTACTTTTCCCTTGACCTTCCATTTACTAAACAGTATTCCCTCAACCTTTTTTTCTTTTTCCTTTTTCTTTTCTTTTTTCATTCCCGCTCTCTCTTAATAAAAAGACAAAACTGTTATTATTACTAATACTTTTAAGCAGGTTTTCTTTGCCTCTGTAATATAACAAACCTTAAACTTCGTGTTAAAAAACGTTTTTAAACACTTACTACTCGTATTATCTTAACCGCTTCATATTTTAACTATGATGATGACATATCCATTCTATTTCTGCCCTTCTGGTAAATTCATGTCATTCTTTCTACTAATCACTCATTAGGCACAATGTAACCTTGAACTTTATGATTAATTTTCCTTCCCTATGCTGTATACAGTCACTATGTTTGATCACCAATCGACTGACAAAGTTTACACTCAGCTATTCGCCGTAATTAGTATGCATGTATAAGTTATACCATCATTCACAAACTAATTGTGCAAGATAGATATTCAGCATAAACTGGCATCATCGACTGGAAAAACATTAGAAACTGAAGAGTACTAAATATCTCTCTCGTTTTAACGCGGTACTCCTCAGCGGTGTGCACCAATGACCCGCCAGTGACCTAACCCAGGACCTTCAGGTTCCTCGACCACCACCTTGAGCCACTGGGTCGGAATACAATGATCTACATTTCCTACCTCTATCAGTTCACGATGTAAACTTCAAGTTGTCTTAATCTAGTGCTCATTGGTGACTAGCTTCGAGAAGTAATTCACGAAGTTCTGATAAAAAGTCGTTACCAGTAAGGGCCAACCAAGTCGAACATGAGGACAGGTACTAAACGACGGCATTGGATGTAGGCTACACAATGTCGTGAACTGACTGAGGTAGGAAATGTAGATTATTGTATTCTGACCCAGTGGCTTAATGACAAGGTGGTGGTCGAGGAACCTGAAGGTTTTGGGTTCGGTCACTGTCAGGCTCATGGTTGCGTACTGCCAAGGTGTCCCGTACTAGGACCGAACGGCTGTACAGTGCTCCTAGGTACCCAGTGTTTATCTGACTGATGTCAGTTCATGAAGAATGCTAACTTGAAGTCAGTAAAATCAACACAAGCCTTCAAATTGTGTAAGGTAGCATTCATCACGGATTGACGTCAGTTGGAGAACCATCGAAAGTGTGGGAGCACTGGACAGCCGTCCTGTCCCAGTATGGGACTCTTCAGCAGTACCAATCCACAACCCAACTAAGTATAATCCCAAATCCATTCTAAAATGCACTTGTCGCAAATTTTGGCTATTAATATATCAACAAAATTGATTTCATAACTGTAGAACCTGGCGAGAAGTTACTGAAAAGAATATTCTTCGTTCATATTTGACTTTTTTTAATTTTTTATCCAGAAAAAAGAGAAAGAGGGAAAGAGCAAGAGGAAGAAATAAACACTGCTCAAATTGTAGTTTATATTCCTAACTTATATGCTGTTACCAATTATGAATGCTTTTGTAATACAGTGACTAGGATGAAATTTACACCAGAGTAATCAGATAGTTAAGATGAACTTTTGAGAGGTTACAGACAGTGAGTAATAGCCTATGCCTAAGATGTATTCCTGAAGGGGTGATATGATCATTTTGATAGTGGAAGGTTTACTTTTCAGCGTAGCCATCATAAGACTTGTCACTGAAGTATTTTGAATCTGGTATAGGACCGAAGTGTACATGTTTGATATAACCTTACAATGGGTATCTGTATCCCTTTTTATGTGACCGATCATTTTATCATGCTTCTGTTTGTAGAATGTTGAGTGGAAAAGATTCATAGTTTTGTGTGTAATGTCACATTGCTTAATAACAAGTACCCTTAGTTGGCATAATCTCACAGAGTAGTGTTTCTTTTCCTCAGGTCTCACCACGAAATAAATTAATTAATCGAAGCCAAATAGCACTTAAGTTCCATAGAACATTATCAAGCTGTTTCTACTTTTTCCAAGTTATATTTACTGAAAATCTAAGTAGTTAGTATTCATTGCTATTCGTGACTTGAAGGTTATACTACACCAAGTTAGTTACTTATACAGAAATAGGTGCTACATTATTAAAACAATCAACCTATATTTTTTGGTGTGAATTTATCACCATAAGAAAAGAAAATTAAACTGTGTGCAAAATAACGTTACGCTTGTTCCTCCAATAAACGTCATTGAAATGGAACAAAGAAAGACCCTTAAGATTTAAAACTTCATAGAGTATACTACGTACATACTAATAAACTGAAGTAACTCCTTTTACTATTTCTAATATTTCAAATTACAAATAAATTGTTCCTTTTATTAAATACTTAAATATTAAGAAGATCCTATCCTATGTTTAAGGTTAATTTCTAAGAATGAAGGTAACCGGTTATATAATTCAATGCCTTAGTTTACAAAGCTTTCTGATACGATTTGAAAGGAGATACAGTCGTTCATAATAAACACATCACATATTATTATTATTATTATTATTATTATTATTATTATTATTATTATTGCTTTTCCCTTGGGTTCCTAGTGGAACATAAAGCTTCAGTGGCACACCTCCATTGGACTCTGTTCTCTGCAGTCTTTTGGACCTGGAACCACGACTGCCCACAAGCTTTCATTTCTTCCTCACATGATCTCAGCCTGGTTAACTAGTACATTAGTTACTAGCCGGTCCTAAGCCAGGGTAAAGAGAGAAAGTTGGGCATATGGGTAGCAACCCTACCCCGTAAAACCAATCCAATCGCTAAAGAAACTTCAAAGCACGAAGAAAATAGCATATATAGAACCTACCAAAAATAAAATCATCAGTTAAAGAATTTGTTCCAGGTAAACAGGCAAACACTGCTAAAATGGATCAAATTCAACGCGTATTCCTGTAACTGCATTCATGTCACCACCTAACAATTTAAATGAAGAAACAGCCTATAAAGACAAAAAAATGCACAATAAAACGTACTAAAACACTTAAACCAATAAATATCAAAAGTAAGCAAAAGTCATCTTGTAAAAGAATGTGTTGACCATAGTCATGCATCGAGTTAGCAGTGAAAATGTATGGGACAGACAGGAAAAAGATCTCAGAAGAAAACAGAGATGAGTAGAAACATGGGTGTGTCAGTGTGTCCGTCGATTTTTGCTGAAGCTATCGGTTGCGGTAGCGGTTAGGGTGGCACATGTTTGAGTATGTTCAATAAAAACCGCCCATTCCTTCTCAAATTCTTATATACAGAAAGAAAATGACGACAGGTATTCGAGGTGAATCCACTTATCTGGCTTGTGAGGCTTAACTAGGGACTCGGAGTACGTGCGTGGTAATCAGCACAATGGAGCGCAAAATGGCGTCCAAGCCTGCTCGGATGCATGCTCGTTAAAACAAAACTTAAAACACCCTAAGCATCCGGAGGCAAGCTAGAGATTTATTTAGTTAATTTAATTTAAACTATTTATTTTAGCCCTAGTTATATTTTGGTGCCAGGAAGGTGCACTACAGGTTATCCCCCTCCTAGAAGGTTGTTGGGATACCGGCAACCTTCGATCCTAGGAGGCGACTGCGAGGCGGACACGCAACACCTTTCCATATTGGTGATGGAGTAGGTGACGTGTGGGTCTCCGAAGCTAGTGCAACTATGCACACCTACGAGGTAAGATAACTTTGCGTCTAGACGCAACCCTTCTCGCAGTGGTGGAAGGTGACCCAAAGCCTCCGTCTACTTTTCCCTATTGCTTCTTAATCTACCGGGGA